TGTGAGAATGTGAATTTAACTAGGTCAGGATAGGATCAAGTAGTAGACTTTTGTGGCTACAGCTGTTAACTTTCTAGTTCTGAAAGCAAAATGTTGCTGTTTTTACAGAGGATTCAGTATTCAAAGTCTGATTCAGATGTAATTGCCAAGATGAAAGGAACCTTCTCTGAACGTCCAAAGAAGGTGAAGAGAGTGCCGCCAACCATTGAAGAAGCCTCTGTTGATACAAAGAAGGCAAAAAGAAAGGCTGCCAAAGAACAGGCTCGTCTGAATCTTGGAGGAACCACGCCGTTGGTACAACAGGTGACACATGTTGGTGGTTATGGACAAGCCTCACCTATGCAGCAAGGTAAATTGTTTAAATATGTATATATAGATAGGAAGATGGCTGGTTCTGGGTTCTAGTATCATGTAGACTGATAGAAGTTTAACGACGTTTCAGAGGTCCTTGCTTTTTCCATTGTTGGGTGGCTCTGACTGCTTGCCATTAGAACCCAGAAGACAGCCATCTTTGTATTGACTGCTGTGAGAACGTCAAATTCTAAATATGTGTATGTTCTCAAGGACAGTAGTAATAGCATGTGGTACTGTTGTCATGGAGACCGAGGTTTGCTTAGTTTTGTAAATTATATAATCCATGTAAATACTACATTTGCATTTGTGTGAAACCAAAGAGAGAATAATATGAATGAGGAGGTGACATTCTTCTGCGATATTGCCATGTATTCACGCAGAAGTTGACGTTTCAGGTGATCTTACTACCTCCGTCACAGGTGATACTTGAGGAATGAAGTTTCCAAATGTATCAGGCATGATATTTCTGCAACTTTCTGTTTTTTCCGTCACATCTGATTTTGCTCCAGGACATTAGTTTCATTATGATTTCTTTTTCTATTGCAGGCACGCCACATGTATCTACAACTGTTCCTGAACAGCCACCAAACCAGATTCTTTTCCTCACAAACCTACCGGATGAGACAAACGAAATGATGCTGTCAATGTTGTTCAATCAGTAAGTACAAACACAGGAAAGTCGTTGTTCTGTAATTTCTTCTACTCATAAGATTACTGGCAGTTGGACATCGTCTTTATTCATAGATCTGCCATTAAAATATCTTGTGATGCCGGATAACAATGTTTTGTCATCGTTTTCTTATTCCTGTTCATACCATGACTTGGTATTCATTGCCAGAATTAGGACATTGGTTGTCATGTAAAGTCACACTGTTACTCCATAATATATGGATAATATCATTGAGCATCAAAGCAGTCAGTTTTGATTTTAATTTTCACTATATCAAAAATATTTCTTTACCTTTGCATGGGTGAACACTTGTCTCAAATTTAGTATGCTGATCTCTTTTCATAGAACTGTTTTAGTTTTTAGCTGAAACATTTTTACTCCTTACCATTTAGAGAAACAGTAAAAGCTCTATATTACAAACAGGCCTTCACTTCGTCAAGAACATCTCGATTAATAGAAAATTCAATGCAGCACATTTACGTAGTCCAAGAAACTGAACCGTATTTTCAGTTGTGTGTGTACCACCATGATTTTATCTTTATTTTTTTCAGGTTTCCTGGGTTCAAGGAAGTTAGATTGGTGCCAAATCGTCATGATATTGCATTTGTCGAATTTGAGAATGAACTCCAGTCTGGTGCAGCTAAAGATGCACTTCAGGGTTTCAAGATTACGCCTTCCCATGCAATGAAAATATCATTTGCCAAGAAGTGAAGTGTGTGTATTCTATTGTCCTTTCAAAGAACTACGTATTACTCAGAATACAGTGACACCATAATTTTATGTTATATAGGGACAACAGCTTGGAACTCAAGTGGAAGGAAAACCTTAAATGGATGAAATTCAGAATTGAGCACATTGATCTGGGACTACAGAAATTGAGCCCTAAATTAGGGACTTACATTGACTTTTCAATGTGTTTGCTATATAGTACATAATACTATGTGTATCCAATTTCTTTGTGTGTTAACCAGTATAGTAGATCAGGTTATTTTATATAAATTACTGTTTTGAAAGTATTAAATAATTCTGTCACTTGTATGATTTTGTCTTTATTGTTCCTGTGTTTTTGATTTGCATTCCTCAATTTCCTAGCTTTGATTACAGTAAAAGAACAGAAAAATGTTGCTCAAACATTCTCCTTTATGATTAGATATTGTATAAAATGGGTAAAATGTTGGACACACGAGATTGTTTTCCTTGGGAGCAATATGCCAGGGATCGGGTTTTATTCCAGCAAGGATATCACAGCCATATAAACTGCAATTAGGATGTTTTCATTCATAAACTAGTAGAAAAGTGTAATCTGTACCATAATATGAATTTCCACATGCATTCATAAACTCTTACGTATGTATTTTCTTATTCACAAAATGAAGGTGCTGGAGCAAACTACAGTACATTGTTGACTTACTATCATTAAAGTGCATGAAGGTAAGTTTTAAGTATTATTTTCTTTCTCCTCTGTTTATTTGTTTTCCAGAAACTGAGTACTCTGAAGACACTATAGTCTTTGTTCCACTATTTAATTCATGTATACATAATATATTGAGATTTCTCTTAACCTGTTGTGATGAGAGAAGAGTATTTTTCAGAATAATTATGCATGTATGTTCATGTGTTTGTTTATGTTAGATCAGATTTTCCATCCTCAAGATGTTCTGGGATGTGACAAGTCCTAGAAAGAAAGTATCATTATCCTCACTGCTGTGAAAACATCAAATCTCATATAATGAACCTCTGTGTGGAGGAAACAAAACACTTGTAATTCAAATTTTCCTAACTTGAGCTTCTGACAACATGAATAATAAATGGACTCTTTGCCTATGATACTTTCCACATTGATACTGTTGATTTTTGTAAAGGATTTTTTATATATACTGATGAAACATTCAATCATCAGCCATGCATTATGGCGTATGCAGTCCAGCTGGCCATTGCAGTACCATACCACTAAAACATGAATTCCAAAGTTAAGTCAGTCTGAATTCCTGTATGATAAATATACATTAATTCTATGGAACAGAGTCCTTGAGAAACTGCTAGTCGCTCATCTTCTCAAGAAATACCATGTTTGTGTGAAACACAGTACACACTAGTCTGCTACCAGGAAGTAACTTCTTTCATTTGCTGGAGTAAATTGAAACATGTTTACACACCCAATTTCAAAATTAATAGGGGGGGGGGGCGAGTACTATAGATAATATTATTTCCGATTGATTGTCAAAGTATTTCTGCTCGCCGACATATAGATGGCCGAAATGTCGGCCTTCATACGTTTCCAGTCATTCGCAATGTGTTGCCATTGTGGGTAGCTTTGGCAGCACGAGTCTTGTATTCGCTGGAAATCTTCAATTCGTTGTAAATAATCTCTGGTCTGTACGGATTACCAATTTGCTAGATAATTAAGGCAGTTGATAATCGTGGTTATCAGTTGTAGTTGATTTGTGGTTAACAGTATTTCTTTCCTGATTCGGTTACCCATTCGTTAGTTGTGCTGTAAATTATCATACGTTTCTAATGGAGTCTGCGGGAGTACACCAGGTTGTTGATATAGAATGGAAATTTGGCGGTAAGAATTTGATTGTTGTTTCACGTTCCTATAATTTTATCGCATTTGCTTGGTGCATTGTAGATGGCCGGTAGGTAAAACGGACCAAATTTGCTTCTCCATTACATATTACCTCACCGGATAATAACTATTGATTTTATAGCATTAGCAATTTATTATGTCTTATTATCAGTTTTGTAATTTGCGGTGATTGATACTAGATTTGAGTAGGTTGGAATGAATAGGTTAGAATGTGTCTATCGAAATTATTTATTTGGCACCTTATTATTTAATTTAAAATTCTAACTAACTAGATGGCTTACAGAACCCGAAGGTTCATCACCGAAATCACTAATGCTTATTGATATATATCACTCATTTCTATACCTGATGACTCACCAGTGCATCCTACTTTTTTCCCTGCCACTGCAACTGCTACTGGAGGACAGCATTCAGTCACGATTCTGGCTTTCCTTGTCCCCAGGCATCGTCAGCCTTTTTTACTGTTTCATGCGGGAAAATTTATTGGAACATGTTTACCTGTGTACCTACAAAGGCTGTGGATGTTGTGGCATGCATGAATTGACCCTTTGATGAAAATTAGATTAATCATGATGAACAGAGGATGATTGGAAACTTGTAGTTATGTTTTTTGTATAGTAAATTTATTTTTGTTTTGACATATAGTATTTAAGAAGTGAACAGTAAGACCCCTTTAGATATGTTATGGTAAAGAGAGAAATATGTATGCATATCAATTGAACATTAGCATCTTTCATTAAAACACGACTTTCCTTGGACATATAACACAAAGATTTTTGTACATCTTTTGCTTTAAAAGCGCCATCTTACATCACTTTTCCTCCATGTGCTGATAGAAGTTAGGAAAGCTTTGAGTGAGGTAATTACAGATGAATAAAAACTTGCAGTTATTTCAAAGATATTGACCATTATTGGTTAAGGGATGGGTTCATGTTGACTTTAAATGTTGGTTGAGAACATGGAAATGAGGAAAGAATGAACAATATTAGAGTAACGCATTATGAAGCTGTTGTGAGTGCAACAGATGACAGTGATAGTACAATGGACATTACATATAAGGATATGGAAGTCCTTACAAACACATCTGAGGAAGAACTTTATTGATGTTCTCCAGTTTCCAGTATTCTGATTATTGAGTGGATGTTTGATGCAGTTCTGGAAAGGTATTTTAATAATTGGTTAAAGTAGCTACAATTTATTTTCAGAGAATTTTTTTCTTCCTCATTACTCTATATCTACAGTTGTCAGTAAGTAGGTATCAAGAATATTACTCTATATCTACGAAGATTTCTGTCTTCTGGGTTATTGCGCTGTGTAGTCTGGTCGATGTTAACCAACGTTTCAGACAGTTGTCAGTAAGTAGGTATCAAGAAACAGCAGCATCATGCAAGGAAGAGGCAGTCTTATGTTGTCATTCAGGTCAATTTGTGGCATCCAGGTTGTACATAAATATTTTCAAGCTTGATGAATTAAAAATTGAAGAATGTTTGGTAACCTTTCCCTTTGTCATGTTAAGTTACGTTTCACCAGGGGCATGTGCGTGCATAGTATGAGTTACTTCTAGCAAGAAGACAGAAGTTAATACCAGTGTGGAATCTAGGCAGAAGATTGGATGATCAAGATAGGCAAATTATAGTCATAAAGAATGACAATCGAGAAAGTAATTTGTAATTATTGTGAGATTAATAAATCCATATTTCAAGCAAGAACCCACAAGTAACGAGCGATTATTGTAAAAATATTTTCGTTGTCTCTTTGCAGTGACTGCTGCCAGCAGCAATGAAACACAAGTGGGCACCACTTACCTCCACTTGAAACTTGTATTGGACACTGGTGGTGGGCATACAAAAAATGTGTATTTGGAGATGTCCCTGCCTCAGTTCTATGCTTTCCTGCATGAACTGGAAAAGGCCAAGGGTAGTCTAGACTACATCAGTTAGTTACATGCATTTGTTTGTAGAGAATCTACCTGATCTAAAATATCTTTGAAAATACTGAACTGAAACAGCTTTGGACAAAGGAAGAAATAAAGCGGTGAAGATAGGAATGGCTACTTGCCAGTAGTGAGGGAAACGTATGTTGTAACGCAAACAATATGACATTACTGCTGTGCAGGGAACAAGAGCTGTACTGCTTAAATACATTAGCTGAGTTTATTGCAATATATAGTGCACTGTACAGGGAACATTTTTATGAGAATATACCTTTCACAGTGTAGTTACTGTTCCAAGTACCAGGGACATGAATATACCAGGAAATGCTTCTCATAAAATATGCTTCTTTTCCGTTATGGAAACGTGTGGTGTGTGAAAATGAAATGGTGTATTGTAGTGCATTGAGGTACCACCAGCATAAGTAAATTAACACTCATGCTTGATAGCATACGGTGAATTGCTAACATGATATGATTATGTGTTCTTTTGATTTTGATAAAACTGTATTTATTAGAACATGAAAAAAGTACATTTTTATTGATATGATAATGTATACTTGAGCCAGTGTAAGTGGACAAACTGATATAGTTGTGACTCAGTGAGCAAAGGAGATACATCTACTGTAATCCTTGATCACAGTTTAAAACTGTGTTTCATTATATAACATGTTGTTTAATGACAGCTTTATAGCCAAATACCCAACATAATTATACAGTATTTGAGTTTGTACCAATCTGCTTATAACTTTAAACAGTGTAACTGAGACTGTACTTGTTATGTTACTGTGATCAATGAAATTATGCTAATGTTCTGTGTAATAAACTGCACTTAACATTGTGTTATTTGGATTCAGTCATTTTCCTTCCTTGAAAAACACAATTATTCTTGTAACTGTGCCAATAAGTACTGTGTCACAGTCTCTTAACCTCTTACTCTGTTATTAAGATTTTGTCTATAAAATGGATTTCTGTAATGACACATCAATAGGTATGAGTATATATTTTATCATCATCATTTAAACAGTTTAATTAATCCGGCCAGCTTCATGGCTATACCACATTAATTGAGAATATTGTACAATACAATACTTCTGTCCTGGCTGAGTCATAGGCTTTCTTGGAATTAATAAATAGTTGATGCAGTGTTCCATGCAAATTCCCATTTTTTGTTCAGTTCAAATGCAGAATATCTGATCAGTTATTTGTCTGTAATGACACAATCCATACTGATATTCCCAAATAAATTTACCTGTGTATGTGATATAATGCCTTGATTCTTAATCTTGAGTCCAGTCATATTTATTTTACTTTTGGTACACAGTTTTTATTTTCTGTTTTACACAGATGACAGAGCAGTGTCATATATATAAATTTAATGTGTTATGAGCTGAAATTACTATTGATTTATTTATCCATTTATTTTCAATTCTCTGAATGTAAGATACAACTCTTTTTAATTCATCCTTTAAAATTAACGAGTTTACACACTACAGCTAACATCCATTATTTAGAATAATATCAGCATATTGTTGGCACTTGTATTTTGTGATTAAAATGTAAGTTCAGTAATGTTCATAATGATTTCAGAATTAAACAGATATTATTTTAATGTTTTCTGTCCTAACCCTATCACTGTTGTGGATAGAATAGTTCCAGTACACAGGAAACACACTGTGAATTGTGGATAAAACTATTCCATGAAGTACACATTGCATTATAATATAATTCATATTTTTATGAAATTTTATAGGCAGTGCCAGAAAAGGAATGAAAACATTTTCCAAATCTACTTCCATAAAAGTTAACATTAATTTAATAAGGTGCTTACGTACCTTATATTTGTCATCTCTCAGACTGCTGTAATATAAATTAATTTCTTATTCTCAGTGATTTTTATTTATTTTTAATACTGCTGCCATGTCTTCATTCATGTTTTTCATGCTTCATTTTGCTGAATTCAAATATCATATGGCACAAACTGGTAAATGTGGCATATTGATTAACAATGTTAATAAGAGCGGACCATTTTCATTGTAACTTCTAATGATATGTGCCAAATAAATTGGTCACATTTGCCATAAAAGTCTTTATATCATATGAAATTCACTGTACATAGTTCAGTACATGATAAACATCTTTGCTGAAATACATAAAGCTATTATTGTTAATTTTAATAATTCAAGTTGGTTTAATTTTATGTCCACCAATACTTGTGAAGTGTAGTTTGTCATTCATTTGATTCTTGACAGCTGTTTCCATAATCATGTGTTCTCTTTCTTTGGTGACTGTGGAAGAGATCATTTTATTTGCTCTGCACTGTCTCCAAACCAACTGAAGCAAATGAATTATTGCTATAACCATCTTGTTTAAAGGTGCATTGCGAACAGTATTGTATTGTTAGAAGAAATCAATTCCTTTAAATCTTGTTTGGACAAGTTGAGCTTACTGGCATTTCTTGTCAAATAATGCAACAGGAGAAAGTTGCAGCTCAGTTTTTAATTTGCTGATCAATGTGCCAGTAAGAACTGCAGGAAGATATCCCCTGAATAAGCAAGTTGGCTGCAGAAGTTCTTGTCATTTGTTTGGCAACCAGTGTACAGTGAAGTTTACTTTAAATGTTGCTGTAATGTTATTTCAGTCATTGCCATTTGCCCTCACTATGTTCACTTTGTCTGCAGCTGCGTTATATTGGAACGTGTCTGTGATGAATGTCTTCCCTGAACCCGAGTGGGAATGAGTAACACTGCCACCTCCAGCTGGGGCCCCTGTTCGATAGCCAGTATCTCCACGCCCTTGTGAGCTTACACAGCACAGAAGTTTGCGATAAGCAGCTCGGTACTGACGATTACTGCCCGCATATATGAATGGATTCACCACACTAGATGCCCATGCCAAGACTGAAGCCATTACATGAATTGTTGGATAATGAATCTGTAACATGACAGTTTCTTTAAACATAAGGAAACATCATTCGGAGACAACAGAAAGATTAATTCTCTTTGGACATAACCGAGCAAATCTGAAAATAAATTTTAAAAATATGAACTGTTGAGCAAGGATTTAGTGGTATGAGAGACTTAGAGTGCCGTGGAAGATAGCAAAACTGATGAAGAAGACACCAATATGAATTAAGGTATGTTAGGTACATGTAAATTCTGACATGCATAAAATTTTGTGTACATTTTGGTTTAAGGAATCAAACTGTTGAAGTATGTGTCTGTATACTGAGGTAAAATTTCTGCGCTTGGTTTTTATGAGATCTTTATTTGCGGTTTTGAGGATGAGAAATTGGTTGTGGCGATGATGAACCTTTGGGTTACACAACAGTAGGGAAGCTCTTCAAAAACTAAAGAAGGGAGTACACCATTTCTACGTACCTCATCATCTGCAACGTTGACAAGCATCAGTGGCAGGAAACAGAGGAGAAAGCAGCAGAAGATGATGAGCATAAGACGAGTCAGTCGAATGTCCTCGCGTCTCTGCAGGAATTGATGTGCCGCATTGTTAGGTTTGGGTCCAACTGCGCTGCTGACACAATACTAGTTTAATTTTGTGTCAGCGTTATACACCAAAGTTTTGATTTTGGTTTAATTTCCTCTTTTACATTTTTCATATAGCTATATAATGAAGATGGTATATTCGGGTTTTTTATGCCTCTACTCATTGCCCTGATAGAGGCAGCAAGCACATCTGAAATGTCTGTAAACTTCTACCAGACTACACAGCACAACTACTGAGAAGACGTCATCTTCATACTCACTGCCATGGGAACCTAAAATCTCACAAGCTACGCAATATTGGACAATGAACCATTTTTTAAAGTAGTCGCTTTGAAGACGAAGGTGTAGATCAGACGATATTATCAAAATGGAGTTTTGGAAGGTGGACTGCGGTGACGTGTGTCTAAATTGCGGGTTCAGTGCCAAACTTTTATTGTAGATTCAGGTGCTGTGTCATGTTACTGGGTATGAGTATTTGTTTTCTCAACGTTTTCATTTTAGTGTGATTGCAGCCTCCTTATTAAATACGTAGTATTTAAAGCTTACTTATGTGCCTGTAGATTTCTCCGGCTCTGCCGCACTTTCCAGTAGATGCACGAGTAAGACGTGATGATCACAACGCAGGGCAATATAAATCCTAAGACAAATAACATCTTCTTTGGTGATTTGCCATCTTTCTTGAGGATTGTACAAGAGAATGTTGGAGGATCCAAACCAAGATAACCCCACACTTCCACAAGTGGGGGGACCATCATGGAAAAACTGAACACCCACACGAACACCAACATAAGAGAGATGTACCGTGGGGCATATAGTTTATCGTAGAGGCTGTGGTATGAAATGAGAATATACCTGAAATCAAATATCGCTCGTTAAAGAAATATTGCTCACTTTGTAGAAGAACAGAAATTTCCTAAGTGCATGTTATAGAATTTAAAAATCTTTCTGGTGTCTGAACTAAAATCCATAATATTCTGGAAAATATCACAGCGACTGGTCGAATGAACAGACTGATGGGCGTGCACTGTACCTGTTGATTGTGATGGCCACCATGCTGAGGAGGGATGCAGCTACATTGCCATAAAAGAAAAATGGAAACAGTTTGCAGAGTGTGGAACTGAGCACCCAGGCCTGATTGATGTACCGTGAAGCAGTGAGAGGCAGATTGATGGCGCAGAACAGCAGGTCAGACATGCAGAGGCTGATGACAAAGGCGGTAGTCGCGTGATGCCGCAGTTTGGAACACCGAAGCAATGCTATCGCTGTTATGAGGTTTCCTGGAACAAATATGTTGAGATTAACAAAGAGACTTGGAGACGATGGAGACACCTCCCTTCATATCCATGCACCATTACAACTCAGAAGACCAACATCAACATCTTCAGGGCTGTGAGACCTCGCGTGTTGTATAAGAGGGAGTGTTCCATTTGGATTTAAGAGGGCTGTCAGTGTGGTCTAGATAGATAGTTGCTCATTGCGTGTTCTTTGACACCTGCATCCATGGTTCTGTGAGAATCCAGTTCCTATGTATCAACAGACTTAAAACTTGCTTGCCCCTCGTCCGCCCTTCGAAATTGATTTTCTCATCAATTGCAACTCATTTTTTGCGTGGCTGAACACACATTCGCTCCTCCTTGCCTCGTATTTTTCTCTCATTTCATTTACCACGAACTACCAGAGCTGCGTTGAACGCATCCAACTCCATCTTCGTTTTGCTAGACCTCTTAAGCCCGGGGGTCCCTTATTTGCGCAGTCCCCGCGGGCGGGAGGGGGCAGCTAAATCTCATTGTGTTGTGTCGCGGCGGTGGGTATGGTGATATTATTATGGGCTCGTAGCGTCACAGAGGAACATACCAACTTCAGCTCTGAAGATGGAGACAGTATGTTCCTCAGAAATATTGCTATCCAAAACCGAAATATCGTCATCATTCGTCCTGTTTTTTTTTTCCTTTCTCTTCAAGAACACAAAGTTTTGGAAGTCGCTTCTTCCACCTTTAGGTAAAACGGGTCCCAACAGATCAATCTTTTGTCCTTGTATCAGCTGACTAAGTAACGATATTTGAATTCTCGTCATTATTATAACTCCTTATTTCGGGACGTTTGCATCGTTTCGATTTTGCTTTACTTGGATCCGTTAATACCGAAAGTCGAATTTATTTTCACTCACATTTTTGCATAAAATATATTACACGTGAAAGAAGATACGTCACTTAGGGCCTTATATTCTGTCTAGGCGTAGGAGAGGTGAGGTTACAGATTTGATGAGATTGAATGCATGGAGTTTTACCTCCACTCCCCCACACGCCCTCATTGCACCGTGCTTAGGAACGGTGGTAACTTCACAAAGATGTGGCAAAACGAAATCATCTTGCCAATATTTTGTGCTGTTAACAGTGGGAAAGGGTCAGGGGGGCTTTGGAGGGAAGAACGAGCTTGGACGTAAACTCGCGTTCAACTGCTTCCGGGCGTCTGAATTGGGGGCAATTTAATGAACTCGACATTTAGGGCAATATGTTGACATTTGACCTCACGCCGTGGTGTCACACACCGGGATCAGGGGCCATGTTGGACTGTCAACTTCTAGTACAAGAAAAATTACAACAACAAAATAGCAGATTAATTTTAAAACACCAACCGCTTTACAGCACGTAATTCTGTCTCGCATTAAGTTCTGTAACATTGTTTTATATTTCTGTCAGAAAAGTTAGTATCTGAAAATTCTCTTCGCCAAATATTGTTAGAATGATCAAATCAAGAAGGACGAGTTGGGCGGGGCATATGGAGGAGATAAGAAATTACTACAAAATTTTTATTGGAACGCCTGAAGGAAAGAGACAACTCAGAAGGATGGTAATATTAAAATGGATACAAGGGAATAGGGTTGAAGAGTGTGGATTGGATTCGTCTGGCTATTATTTACGACGAGTCTTCATTATTTTTCATATTTTATATTTAATTTTAAATCTGTTTTTGTGTTGCCTTAAAGAATAGGTAACTTCGCCTTTCCCCTAACTCCCAATTTCCCATAAGACCTTGGTCTTCTCAACCGCGGGGCAGGAGGGTAACGTAACCCCTGCGGTTTTGCGAGGGACTGGATTTTCCTCCCCAGTCTCATTTTACTTTTGTCTTTTCTTCGGCTGTTCACATGAAGTGCCCCCTGCAGGGAGAAGTTCAACTTCCTGCAGTTTTCCGTTCCCTCTTACCTGCACTTACGACGTGAGTGCGCCAAAATGTGGATGGAGCTGATGTGACGTAGAATGTGATCACTTTTCGCCGTACGAATGAATGAACCCAAGAACGTGTAAATGATTTCTTTGTTATTTAAACCTGATGTTGGGGGAATTCAAAGAAAAAATTTCTTTGGTCATTGAAATCGGACAATTCCAGTGATCGCATTACACGAGAACACGCATATTTTTAAGCTACCATGGATTACGTGAAAAATATGTTTGTGAAATAGATTTTTCCTACGTCGATAAACGTTCGCTGTTGTGTTAATTGATTAAAAGTATATTATGTATTACCATGCACACAGCTGATTGGCTGTTAATTTTTTTTTGTATGTTTTGGAAATGTTCTGTTTATAATTCGTTGCGTTCTTTTTGGAAGGGGTGAACGGAATTTATATATTTTATAAGACATAATCTGTTTAGAAAGAAACTATGAGCAGTTACGACCTTCTTAGACTGTTCTCTTAATTTTTTCGCATATTTCTGGTCACGTGGACAGTTGTGCCTTTGAACTACAGATATTGCTGAAATGGTTCAGTGCCAAAGATGTTTCCATCAAGCTAATTCTGAGTGTGGAGACTGCAACAACATTTGTCCCTGATATTCAGCTGCCTTGTGGTTCGTTCCTCTGCGCTTATCATGAGACTTCGTCTGATATTCAGCTTCCTTGTGGTTGTAGTTCCTCTGCGCTTATCATGAGACTTCGATGGGTTGTACTTACCTATTACACCTAAAACACTGAAGACCACGGCGCAGATAGACGCAAAAATTGTCGCCTCTCGAGGGTAGTAGATCTCAACACTGTCCGGCCCATTCGTGTAGTTGTCCATCGTATTTATCAGCCGGTTCATGCACCATTTGGCCAGCGTCTCCTTGTAAAGCTTGGCCACGCCTCAGCGCTTGCCGGAGACAGCTAGAATGAGACGGGTCGCTGGTCTTTATTGTAAAGGAATTACGACGTCAGTTACTTTGATTTACTGAACTCTGTGATGAAATGCGAAGCCATGCATAATTTTTGTAAAGCGTGGTTAAGCAATAACAGAACTAGCAGCAATAATAATTTCCTTCCTAACAGGGACAAGCTTATAATTAATCGTCCAAAATGTTGTCACAATAAAATCCGTATCATCTTACGCAACATAACCTCAAAGTTTTGCTATTTTTTCAGCACGAAATATTTGATATTATGATATTTGTAGACGTATTACGTGCGTCAGTTTTTGATATCTGATTTTACAGTCAACCATGTCTGACTGATTAGCTGACTGACCAGATAAATTTACCAAAAATAATGACACGGCCAGTTGACAGATTGGCGTACGTCACAGAGCAAACAAATCACTGGCTAGCTGTTATTAGAATCGGATGCTCTAACTCATAATAAATGTAGCGATAAGTGAGTGTTTTTTTTCCTTCTTCGGACTGTGACATGAAGGGTCATGCCCCGGACACAGAACAGCTACAGTCTTCATACCGCTGATGCTTTCAGTTACATCGTCTGTTGTGGCAAGGGGAAAGAAACAGTCACAGTTTTCCATGTTTAATCGAATACTGATGTATGTGGAGCTGAATCTGAGGGGTCCTTGACCCTTAGAAGCCCAAGTTTGTCTAAGTAATATTTAATAATTCAGTCTCTACCTCAAAGAAAACACCGCATTATAAAGACCAGTTGATAAATGGATAAATGTTGGTTTTTTCCTGAGAATCACAAGAAATCCATGAACTTTATGTGAGCATTTTTGTGGTAACATTGTTAAACATTGGGCTTATAACAATCAAATGATTTGATTTCTAATACAGTCGCAGCTCGCGGACCACGCGTTGCAGAGAGCGCATTCACAAGGCTAGTGACTGTTCTTGGGCGCTCTTAATGAAGTCTGTACTGTGTTTCTCGAACCATTTGGTTTTTTAATTCAATTCAGTGTTTCACCACACCCCTCTTCTCATATCCGTTCCTTTTTAATATCTTTTCCAAGTAGCGTTGAAGTGCGATGCTGTATTTTTTGCCGCCCGTGTTCTGTTTTCAGTCTCCGTCTGCCGGAGTTATCACTCGCTCCATCAGACTGACAACAAATAAACTCTTGTTTCGTCAGCAGATCGCACAGACAGAGCAGTAACGACATTTCATAAAACAGTTATGATTCTGCACGTGACAGCTTTTTTGTTCTCGACGGAAATCAACCAACAGCGTTGCTCTGTGTAACAGAATTGACCATCTGCATTTCGTTGCAGATCTTGGACGCTGGAAGCCTCTACAGCGAAACGCCTAATTGTCGATGTTGTCTTCTGGATTGTGACGCCGTGCGTTCCGAAACGCCGACATTTACTTGTGCCATCACAGTCCAGCAGACCATCATCATCATCATCATCATAGTCTTAATCACCGCGACAACCTCAATTCCGAAATCTTTGCAGATATTTGGGAAGGGCTGTAACACCACTGCTACTGTTTCAGGCAGTGAAGAGGAGACTTCTTTAACCTTTACATTGCCGATCCTGATAACTTCTGACGTCCAAGGCACTACAGCCTGAAGACTGCAGTGCCCATGTGTATGTACGTATCCCGCGTTTTGGTTTCTTAAAACAGCGATAAGATGTCTTTTGCGAGAAAATAATTTTTTGTTTACTGAATACATGATAGACTGAACCGATAAAGCATGCTCGTAATATTACGTAAACTTTTCTGTGACTACACTGTCGCATGTTTGAGCTTGATGATTTGATTATGCGACTGGGAAATGTATTCGTCGGACAAAAGAGTTGGCAGGTCTGGTTTCCCTTGTCACAAAGCCATGACAAAATACCACTGGCTTTATAATGGAACTCCCCGTGTCGACTTTACTCCTTAGAATTTAGAGGTTTCCTCTCCCCGCATTGATTCTTGCTATAGGGGGTTGTGCCTTCTGAAACCAGGTGTTCCAGATTGAAAAGCGAGGAACAATGGTGAAGGAACCAGTTAGTCAACATTAATCTTAACAATGTGAAATTTCCCAACCAACATATCGACACTAAGAAGATATCAGTTATCGATATGTAATGACTGACTGCTCTTCGCGTGTAGCCACCTTGAAAAAGAGAAGTTCCCTACAAAGATATTTCTGCAAAAATGTGAGATTTGAGGTTCTCGCGGCGCTGAATATGGCGATGTCGTTCTGGGACACGACGCCGTGTAGACTCGTAGGCACGTTTGGAGCTGAAGATGTTAACGCACTGTTATCCACCATTGAAGAAGCAGTCTGTAGCAAATGACGATGCAGTATGCCATTAATCGTAACATTCTGTCAAGGGGTCATGGACGTGACTGCTTAATTAACCGATAATTTGCATAAATTTTTGCCAGCTATCGCTCGTTTAAATGAAAGTCGTGCTAGGAGTCAGTTCCTGCCCGGATAAGATGATTTATTTTCCCCAACTGCTTCACCAAAATTTTCTGAAAGATCCTCATCGCTTTATATCAAGATCAAATACACTACAAGTCGGAGCCCTGCTTGGAGTACTAAGAATCTCTTTTGGAAATGTCTGACGGTACATCTTTATCGAATACATCAGTTATAGATAAGTGGTAATGAATAATGAGATTTGTCACCTAGGTTGTAAGTGTCTTGAATATATCAACTAGAGCGAACATTAAATTCTCCAGATCCTTTAACCACTGCAGAAACTAAGCCAAGGTTTGCTACCATGCAGTCGAGAATATTTAGGCTTCCATTCTGCTGTCTAAAAATGTAAATAATGAACTGTATAAACTACGTCCATAAATGTACCACCTGCGTTAACAATCAGTAACTCTTATTAATTTTGTATTTCACCGTAAACAGCGATTATTTCCTTAAACAGCGTTAACCATTTGATCTTTGTAATGGTGAAGTGATGTGTTTTCTTTGCGGTACGGACCCAATTCTTAAATATTAAATAGATGAGCTTTGGCTTCAAGGGGTTACTACACAGTGCGACGTGAATGCTTCCGGGGGGCAGTTAGTCAGGAAAGCGTAACGCACGGTGATGGCAGTGAAATACAGGCTGTGTGCGGAAGATAACATCCGGGGAACAGGAGAACACGCGTGTCTCCTATCTCGCTTCGGAGAGGTCCGAGTTCGAATATCGGCTTGAAGACTGGTTGTCTTTTCAGACATTTCGTGGATTTTGTCAGCCCCTCCATGTAAATTTTGGAATAATGATCTTAAGCGGGCCACCACCTACCACATCCCTGCCTCATCGTTCGCATTCAACGCTACACGATTTATTCCAATAAATCAATCAGTCAACAGGCAGATTCTAAGAAAACAGGTCCATCTAGTAAAAGAGTCCTCTCCATTTACGGAACCCAGAAATTCATACGAAACCAGGAGTTATGACCTTGGAATCATATTCGAGATTTAATGTGGTGTGCAGAAATGGAATTACACTTTTGTTGTCGGTGTTGGTATTCTGAGTTTTAACGCTGTGTGGACTTGTAAATTTAGGTACATACGAAAGTTTCGGAGGAACGTACTTTCTTAAGAGATGAAGATAGAGGCAGTGTGTTCGTCCGAAACGTTGGTACCAACCAACAAGTCTGCACTGTGTCACAACCCAGAAGAATAACATCGACATCGCCGCGTTGAGAAGCTAAAATCTCGCAAAGATTTTTCTTGTCTCTGCTGCGAGGTTCAGAGAAACGACAAACATATCGTGGCCTGTTTGTTCCAGACAATCATTTCGGCGGGAAAATGTCGTGTCTTAACGAATTTATTTCGCGTCAGATGTGTGAACTTGACAGCAAGTGTTAACACTTACCGACAGGGATGCTGCAGACACCGACTACTCCCGACAGCGCGTTCGAGGCAACTGACTGGAGTGACTTGCCGCCTTCTTTCCATTGGTTCCGATGCAAGCAGCTGTCTGCTGCCTCCCTATTCGAACAAAGGAAATACACTGGGTCGGCGGGCCGTGGTATTCAGAAAATCAGAAGTGTCTGCATTATTGCTTCAATTGCTTAATCGTAGAAGAAACGCACTTGTCGGAGTCCAATGGCACGACGGGAATGAACTTCTTGGTTTTGATGCTAGATGGCGGTGAATTGTGAGCTTCACGCCTCGGCCGTCTCTAATTTCAAAGAATGCACCTAGTATCTAAGTACAGATCAAGTTGAATATTATGTTGTAGTACGAATTCTAACTCTATTAGGACCAAAAAGTTTCTCGTTAAAGTATGGGGAGCCTTTTTGTTCACCTGGACTCATATTATGAAGTATAATTCTCTAATCTCAGATGTTAACAACAGCGGAGTTAAATTACGTCCGCTAAAATAGCTAAAAGGAATTGTTCAGTCGCCTGTGCTTTTAGATGTCATCCGGTGTTTATGACAGCCCGGCAGGAGAGAGTTAAAATGTTTGAAGAAAAAGTACTGAAATATCTGCATATCTGTAGGTGATTTATGACTCACGCCATTTAAAATTACCTCAAGACGGAAGGATGTGTGAATACGCCACAAGCCTCGTTATCACAATATGCTTTATATTAACAATACTGTTTTGTTACTGTTAGAGTTATGATACAGTACCAGGAACAAATTGAGAATGTATCATTTGGCACTAGAAGGTAAAATATGACTCATTAATTTCGTTTATTTGTAAAAAAACGCAATATCTGAGAAGGGCAATGAAACGAGGTATGCCATTCCACAGTTTATGTAATGAACTTCATGTTGCCCGCATACAAACCAAATTTTGCCAGTTACCAGCACAACAAAAAAAGGTTGGCTGGCCTGTTTTAACGTGTCATTATGGTTTTATACGAAATTCTATCCTATACTCGTTTTTGATGCATGGAATGGCATGGGGACAGTAGTTATTAAACATTTCTTCGAATGTATGTCGGCACATTGCTTATATTTTCAAAAAAATAACTGTTTCATTCTGCGACAGGATCGCACTTACAGCTGGGGAAAACTTGAATATATGGTTATATTTCAGGGCGCGGTTTGGGGGAGTATGAAATGGTTGTGTTAGCTACCCTGTACCCATACTCAGTGCTTGTATTTATTAATGTTTCTAAATTCAAACCATTGTCAAGTGTTACGTGTATAAGATGGAAAGGTCTAAATTGTAGGTTAGGTATAAACTTCAGATTATACCATCCACCCAGCAGACCAACGTCAACAGGTGTATAAACTTTGAGGTCTTACTGTGTGTCATGGTCAGGAAAGGACAGTGACGGAAGATATATATATGTCGCTACATTAGTATTTCAAAACGAAGATTATTGCCACAAAGCTCCATATAACCAAGTGCCAAATGCAAATATTCATTAATATTTTAATCATTTTGTTGAAATAATTGTGTCATTGTTGAAGTTAACTTTGCATATTTCAGGTTTGTGTGATGGCTGTCCCTATCTTTACATTCAATGTGAACCACAAGCTATTGCCTGGACGGGTCACCATAGGCAAGTACGATGGCACACATTCCTGCCTCACTGCAGCCACAACAGCAGACAAGGTACAGGACTACTTTTAAGATTATGATCTTCTCGGTCATTGCACTGTGTAGTCTTGTGGTTGTATTCCGTCATTTTGGAGGAACATGCTTCCTCTGTCTTTGTAATTGAAGTACAAATGATCAGAAAGTCTTATTGGTGATTCTTCCTTTGCCCCCTTGCAAGAATGATATTCTGTTTCTTGCTGTGTAGGTGTTGGTGCACAGTCCACACAGACGTATGGGCCTTGCTGTGGGGCGAGTGGTACCAAGTGATGCAAATAAAGAACTTGCCCTCCTGAATATCAACCAGTCTGTGATGTCCATTTGCGCTGGTCAGCTGAGTTTGACAGAAGAACGAGACACCCTCGTGGTTGGAACCCCTACCACCTTGCTTGCATATGATGTTGAAAATAATACTGATGTTTTTTATAAAGAGGTATGCTGCAATACTGTAAACATTTCTTGTTTGAGAGAATAGATTCTTGAAATGATTTACAGTTGTTCTGTAATCCTTCATTATTTAGAATTCTATTAATGTGTTCAGTAGCAGACTACTTTTAATTGAGATTAATGATATGTACTGGAAAGGATGTCTCATTATGGGTATGCTGCCTCTAAGCATTAGTTATAATTTTTAAGTTTGTTCAGAGTCATTTAATCCTGCTGTAGTACTTTGCCAAGTACTGAAATCATTCAGTAAGACATATTTTTAGACTTAATTGTTTTTCTTGGAATTCTTGGTTTTGTAGCCATGTAGATTAATGTTAAAGTTTCGTAATACGGAACTCCATGACTGGTCGTGACTTACACTTGCCATATTTTCATATTTGTTTTACAACTGTCAGACTTGCAATTGAATTATCCAAATGTCATTAGAGGTTTGTCCTCGTGTTATTGTCTGTAATATGTAGTGGTTCTTATTTACCTACATCTGTTTTTGTTCCTCTTACTTTTAATGTTACTACTGTAACTGATTTATTAGTGTATCTTATATGAAACCTAAATTAATTGCACTTATGGTTGTTCATTCAGGATTATGTGTGATCTCAATATGCTTGAATAAGAAGTTTTTAATGTTTAAACATATATATATATATATATATACATACAGATATATATATATATATATGCAAAAAGTTACAAGTACCATTTGATTCAAAATGCCATAATCTATTTCAATAATGTTTTGTGAATTGTAGCAGTGTAGTTCAATAATCACTGTTTTCTTGAGATTTACAAGAAGAGCGCCAGACTCTAGTTGGTAACAAACTATAACATGGGTGCTGACATGTCATTCTTTCATTTTCATGTGATTTCCATTAGGAAACTGTTAGTCCATATGATTATTAAGACTGATTAAGTAACTGATGTCCATTTTATTATGTGAAAAAAAGAGACATTCTTGAAGTGAGTTGAGTGGCAAAGGACACTCTTATTACCTTTCTCTTAAAACTATTTTAGGTGTACTATTATAATATGCCAAAAGATACTACCAAATTTGAATTGTGTTATTGTGACAGGTATCAGATGGGGCAAGTGTTGTTGTTATTGGGAAGCTGGGCAGTATTCCAAACCCTCTTGCCATTATCGGAGGTAATTGCTCTTTACAAGGATTTGATTATGAAGGAAATGACCCATTTTGGACTGTGACAGGGGACAATGTCTGCTCACTGGCTCTTTTGGATTTTGATCAAGATGGAGAAAATGAGGTAGAGAATTTACTTCTGTGTTTTGTTCGTTACAGTATATTGAATAGCTTGAGATAGATATTTGAGATTTTGACAATGACATAAATGTGGACAGAAATGATTGAGACAGCAAGGACCTTTGAAGCATTGGTAAACTTCTACCAAACAACATGGTGCTACCACCCAGAAGACAGCCATTTTAATACATTTCTGATAATAAGCATTTGATTAAAAGATGCAAGGATTGTATTCTTAATTGTGTGCAGTGTATTAGAGCAACCCATTTTCTTAAGTCGGTATTCATTGTTTTGTCACAGTTAATAGTTGGTTCTGAAGACTTTGACATCCGAGTATTCAAAGAGGACAACATTGTCAATGAACAAACAGAAACAGAAGCAGTAACAGCGCTCACAGCATTTCGAGGCAACAAGTTTGGTTATGGACTTGCAAATGGAACTGTTGGCGTTTATGAGAAATTACAGAGACTCTGGAGGGTGAAAGTATGTAATCGGCAGCCTATACCAATATATATTACTTGTAAATGTGTCTGCTTAGTCACATAAAATAGATACAATGGAGCAGTTCTAATTAGATCCATACTTTTCACTGTTTGTTGTAAACAATAATGTGGATTGATGTCATCTTTGTAGTAATTTCATGGGATGGGTCAAGTATGTACATGTACCCGTGTGTGTATAAATGTTAGGAATTTTTTTTAGTCGAAGAATCGTGCAGTGGCTATTTATGGCTATGACCTGAATGGTGATGGTGTGGAAGAACTCATCACTGGCTGGTCCAATGGGAAGATTGATGCACGTAGTAGTCGTACTGGAGAGGTCATTTTTAAGGACAATCTAAACCATTCAGTAGCTGGTATTGTAGAGGGAGATTACAGACTGTCGGGTAAAAATGATCTTATCTGCTGCTCTGTAGAAGGAGAAGGTAAATACTCAAATGAGATCATAATTAAGATTTTACTTGTCATATGTCTGTGATGGAAAGACAGGTTAGCATGTTTGCTTTTAAGTGGCTAAGAATTCAGATGCTGCTGAATGCAGTGAAGTCGTCTCTGGCTATTAGTCATGTAAGACTTCATTGCATTCATTCACCTGGAAAACTTAAAATCTTATCTAATTGTGGCTTTATTGTTGCCTTTGCATGTAGTGCGTGGCTACAACCTCTCACGACAGGTAAATGTGCGGTCTGATGTGTATGGAGGTAGTGTAAATGCGGAGACAGAAGCTATTCGAGACTTGTTCACAAAGAAGCAAGCTCTAATGCTTGAACTGCGCAATTATGAGCTCAACAGTCATTTTTCTGAAATTAGTGTTGGAGAAATGGGACAGCAACTTGCAGTGGCTAATCAACACGTTGGAATTATACCTGTAAGTTATCTTGCATTGAGGATACATCTGCATACATCATATACATTTTTTGCATTATATTTGAACCATTGAATTCTGAAATTAATTGATAGTGTGATTAATCACTGGAATACAATTTTATGTATAAATAGAGGCAGAGATATGTGTGCCAAAGTTTCCGTGAATCTACAACATATTTTCTGACTTTAGAGTGTTATATTTTTCATCCAGAATATAACACTGAAGAGACATGGTAGCATCCTGTTTCCATTTCAGTTCTTTTCAACCCCTTTTGTGATACTGCTTGAGAATTAATGTGTACTCTTCTCTTGCATATTTCTCAGGCCCAAACAAGATTACAGACTGGAATTGCTGTCAACATGGGTACTGAAGACAAACCCGTATGTACCGACTGTTTAACTTGCATGTGTTGCTATATCACAACATTTTCTTATGTAAGAAAACTGTAGTAGTTATGGTTGAGGTGGTAGCTTTTATTATGGATTTCGTGCTGTTTCTCATACAAAGGGACCTTCAGGATGTTTAGGATTACAAAGTCAGTCACTGTCCACCTATGAAATTACGGTAAACGTCTGCAAGACTACATGGTGTAACAATCCAAAATACAGCCATCTTGATAATTTCTTGATATATTTTTCTTTCTCTTACAGCCACATGTTGAGATTTCCTTGTCTACAAATAATGAGACTGTCATTTGTGCAGTTATGGTATTTGCAGAAGGAATTTTTGAAGGTGAAACTCATGTGCTTCATCCAAAAGAGTCAGAAGTGACATCAAGATTGGATGTGGCTCTGTATCCACCCAGAGATGTTCCAGTTGATATTCACATTAAGGTATAAAGATTATTCTCATGTCAGATTTGACAGCACGGGTTACACATGTTAATGTTATGTTATGTTAAGTGAACAGAGAAAATTCTGTGAATCCAAAATATGCAGCACAGAATTAATTATGTTTTCACTTAAAGTAATATTTTAGTGGACTGCCACTATTTGAATTTTCAAAAAAGCAGCTTTGTATTAGGATAATTTTTATGAACATGTACCTATCTCCTGTTTCTGTAATATGACTGCAATATATAGGATGTCCTTATGTTTTATTTTAGGCATTGGTTGGATATGAAGGAAGCCAGCACTATCATGTGTTTGAACTAACTAGACAGTTGCCACGGTTTTCAATGTATGCTGTGCTTGTTGAACGGACACAGGATGTTGGCAGTTTTCTCTCCTTTGTCATCAATGAAAGACTGCAGCGGGTTAGTGTGATTTATTAACTTTTTGGGTTTTGTGGAACTTGAAAAGTTAATCACTTACTGCAAAAGCTTTACATTGTACCAGGTTTGTGTGGTTCTTTTGTTACACCATACTCCTATCTTCGATTCCATAAGGTTGTCTCTTTCTGCATTTTATCACAAAAATGTATATATGTGGAAGTCTAATCATTCTTTTATTCATAATTATACGTAATTTTGCTTCCTAGATTGCCATGTGGGTTAATCAAAACTTCTTGCTTTTGACTGATTACGAAGTTGTGGGAGACTTGAACGTAACTTTCCTTTCTCTCCGAGACAATACTGAGGTGACTCTCAGTATGGAATCCAATGGGCGTATGGAAATCATCACTAAAAACATGGCATTAGCTGGGGATATTGTCCAGTCACTTGCCACATTCTTGAATTTGGAGGAACTTCAGGTAAGCATCATCTATACAGGAACATTTTTGCAACAGTTTTCACTTCAGAACACATTTGATAATTATCAGCTTTTCTTGTGTCTCGGTTTATAACCTGCTTATCAAAATTAATAATTTGTAGACTGCACTCATGCAGAAAATGTGCGGAATTTGGACACAACTTTTATGCCAATGAAGTAAAATCTACTTCAGAAACTTAAAAATGTTTTGCTGAAGCAGTTTATATTTTCAGATTTTATCTTTTAAACACACATGTTTTAATTTCTGTACCAACAGAAAATTGTCCTGTGAAGAATCTTTTGTCAATTTATACCTGAATAGTTGGCTGGACAATTCTTCACCACGTATTAACAGCAGTGTTATGTGGCAGGTGAGTGCAAACTTTCCTGAGGAGCAAGAGAAAATTGGGGAGCTCATTCAGAAGGTTTCTGCCCTTCAAGATGTTCGATTAAGACTTGGTGCTGAGATGGCAGATCACTCAGGCCTTATTCGTAGTTTGGTGGTTCGTGCCGAAGATGCCAGACATTTGGATGATATGTAAGTTTATATAGATATGCAATTCTTTATCCCATTCATTTTACTACATAAAATTAATCATATTTTATGACAATTGTAGAAATAAGAAGAATGTTTTTGGTCTGAACAGTTTGTAGTAACCCATAATCTGAATATTGGTACATGGGAGAATGATATTTTTGTTAGTCAGATTGAATAAATAATTTTTGCCTGATATAATAAATAAAGTTCCCTTTTTTCCTAATTGAAGTATTGGAAAAATCATTGTGTTTATTTTAGTAATTCGCTGGCTAGTCGAAAGGTTACACATCCTGTTTTTTTTTCTTTAAATAAGGTTTACTGCAATGTAGAATTTTATATGTAATATATGTTGAATAATATTCTGCAAATAAAGTTTATTGAAATGCAAAATTTCAAAATATATAATACATGTTTGAGTTTTGTTTTGCAAATAAGGTTTATTGAAATGCATAACTCTGCAGTATTGAATAAATCTTTGAAATTATGTGCCTACAATTTTTAATAGGTTGTTTGTTTCAGGAAAAGTATGCGTAAATGGTACTTGGAGCTGAATGAAGTAAACACAGATTTGATTAGAGGCTATAATATTCGCTGCAAGAACCACCAAGAATTATTGGATGCTCTCAAAGAGTTGAATGTCATCATACAGAAAGCTGCACGATTACGAGGTAAGTTATTGTTGTGTTTGGGAATTTTCTAGGCTGGAAAGGTATGAAAGTTCTGTTTCATGAACATAAGCTAAGTTTTCAGTATATTGATGTTTGAGATCACTTAAACAAGTGAAAATTTTTCCGTTACTGCTAGGCCTTTTTGTCGTTCTGAATGTAGTCAATTGTTTGGGAGTTTTCACGAGGGGTCTGTCAGGCCATGTTTTGTAATATGAGCCTACTCATCACTTCACTTTAGATGCACTATATTTTTTCTGTCTCTTACATTTCAGTGTGTACATCAGTGAATTATTCGCAAAATTGTTGTTCATGTTACATTCGATTTTGCTATTTTTTAATGCAGCACTCATTTTAGATCACATGGTCAGGGTGTAAGGATTCTACTGTGCTAAATTTTAATCTGACCCTTTTCAGTTGGGAAATACAAAACAAACACAGTGAACCTGTGTCGAATAGCCTTGAAGAACAATAATCTCAACTCTCTGGTGAAAATCATGAAAACAGGAGAAGCATGATCTTGTCGTCTGTACATACTTGTAAGTAGTTCAGTTCATTTATTAGCTGCACTTTTTATATCTTTAATTTTCTTTGTATGTTCTGTACTTCAATTTTTAAGGAACGTGCATTATTTCTGCTGTAGTTTTCAAACGCGATTCTACCTGTTGGAAATGTTGTGTCCATAAATGTGAGTTATGGTTATATTTAGTGAATTTCATCACATAATTCCTGCACACGAAATTCTAATATTAACATTAAAAAGCATTAAGTCTCTGTGTATTTCATGCATGACATTCTTGTTTATGAAATACAGGAAAAAACATGTCATTGCTGTATGTGAAAGGGATAGCAGTAGATACTGGATCTCAAATTGACAACTTGGAATTTGTCACCTGTGGCATCATACAGATGCATGTGCTTCACATTGTTAACATATATAGCATTGTAAGATTTGAGGTTTTCACAGCGGTGAGTATGAAGATTTCTGTCTTCTGGGTTGTTGCACTGTGTAGTCTGGTCGATGTTAACCAACGTTTCAGAGGTCATACTGCCTCCGTCATCAGGGCGATGAATGACCCTGATGACGGAGGCAGTATGACCTCTGAAACGTTGGTTAACATCGACCAGACTACACAGTGCAACAACCCAGAAGACAGAAATCTTCATATATAGCATTGCTTCCGAAGCAAGATCATGGCTGTTTGAAAACTGAGCATGATGACCAAATGGGAAGACATATTTGGTGCACTTTGGCAAGAATCAGATTCTGTAATTTGTTTCACATTATGTGTTCTGTGGCGTGACATTGCAGCCGAGCTCATGAAACAGTTAAGGTGTGTCTGTGCTGTTACAGTGCAAGATGAAGAGTTTCATTCAATTTTACTTTTATGGATTTTTTAAATTGTTTATCTTACCTAATACTAAGATTATCATTACATTTGTGTTCTTGTGCCAAAATTTGCAGGTCCAGTAAGATTATGTTCGGTTGTTGCATGCCATCATGATATCGTTACAGGGTATTTCGTAATGAGGTACAGTATAGAGACTCCAATGAATATGCCAGTATTTTGTAGAAGCAGAACCACTAAAGCAGATGCCTTACTATTCTTAAGTTCTTCTTCTACCATTTTGTTCAACTCAGGCATCTGAAAATAGTCACAGATTACATTATTAATTATGAAAGTGTATCTGATTGTTGCACTTTATAAGGATACAAATACATTTTAAAAAGCAGTGTATCAGAAATTTGGAGGAGGTGAGAAATGCACACTTAATTTAAGTTTTAAAACCTGAAGGGAAGGGACCACTTTGGATTGAACTGGTTCATGATAGGGTTAACTGTGAACATGGTAATGACTGACAGTGCTTTCTTCTGGTTGTGATGCCATGCAGACTGTTCAGGATTCAATATGGAGATGAATGCTTCTCTGAAACTTTGGTATCTACATGGCATCATAACCCAAAAGAGCAACGTAGTCATCCTGACTGCAGTGAGAACCTGAAATCTCGCACGTTAATGAATCTTCAGGTTTTGTAAAAGGCAAGAAATTCTTTGACTAGCAGGGTGGCTGTCATCTTCTTATTGAGGTTCCTGCACCATAAATTTAGTTAATCAGTTGTTTTCAAAAGTGTTTCATAGTATAATTTAAAATAGTTTGGGTTATTGTAAATTATTTATAAAGCTTACCATGTCTGCAAGCGACACATACAGGAAGAGACCACCAGCAAAGGCAAATACGTACACACTTGTCTCCAAGTCCCTTATCATAATACCAAGTATTAGTCCACCAAATGCAGTACATGCTGAGAGGAAGTTGTATAGCAAGGCTTTCTTCAGTGGCATTCCAGAGTTGATTAAAATTGCAAAATCCCCTGAAATACAGACAGAATAAACACTATTTTTAGGCTGATTTTGAAGGATCAAAGAACAGAACATGCTGTGCCTAAACTTGTATAAACTGATCTTAGCAGGGAGGCCATTCCACTGTCATATTATATCATCAACTGCCTTCTGCACGTACAGTGCTCTGTATTCATACAAGGCACATGCATTTCGGTCCATGAACCATCGTCAGTGTCCATTCTTGGTTTAGAACATCTGATGTCAGCAAGCAAAATTGGTTGTATGTTTACAAATGTGCATGTCAGCTATAGCCTGTGGCAAGTTATAACATGTTTACAAACAATACAAAATAACAATACTAAAACCATTTAAAAACACACTTAAAAGGTTGTCTAAAACTCATTAAGATACAATACAAAATGACAATACTAAAACCATTTAAAAAACACATTTAAAAGGTTGTCTAAAACTCATTAAGATTATGTAGAAGTAGGCAGCCTGAGGATGTGCCATGTCACAGTAACAAGTGACTCAGCATGGGAAAATGAAGTAAGGCGAAGAGAAAGTGGAAGAGGAACGAAAACAGAACATAAAATTTACAAAACATGAGGACAAGGGACATAAAAGGATGTAGAGTAAGACAGGAATCTGTGAAAAGACGAGTAGAATGATATGTTATTAAAGTTATGCTTGCGTTGTATATGGATACTGTGTCTCTCACCTAGTTCGTGTGGAAACTCTTCACATGCTATAGCAATGCTGATGCTAAGGCCTGCGTTCAGATCTTTGGAATATCCTGCACCAATAGACATGCCATCAATGAAGTTGTGTAGAGCATCACCAAATATTATCATGTATGCCACTGTGGCCTTGGAGGTAGGACTTTCATGGTTCTTAGCATGTTTATTACTAGGCTGTAATAAAAGAATGAATTTGATCTGTGGTTTACTTTACATTTGAATAGCTGCTATTTGACTGTCATCAATTATTTGACTTTTCCGTTCCCAGTGGAAGTGCATGTAACTCACAACTGGGGGTACCTGGTTTGAATCCTAGTTAGGAACTGGCTAGCCTAAAGTTCTTTGTGGTTTCTTTCATCCTTTTCTGGCAAATGTCAGGAGAGTATCTTGAAATAGTCTGTGACCTCTTCCTGCAGTCTCTTGAGTCACAATTATCCTACCTCCTATCCAGTGCTTGACACAGTGTCATAATACGGTGCATTCAAAAAGAGACTTGAGGTATGTCAAACTCTCAGCCTTTGTTGATGTACACCGCGCCCCAATATGTGATATGTGGCCTGCAATGTCCCAGTTTTAATTAGTTTAAGTTTCAGATGTGTGTCAAGTAGCTGTGGGGAAGTAAAGGAATGAAAATAATGTCGTAGGTTGGAATTAGTAAAAGTAGACAGTTACGATTTTCCTCGCCCAACAAAACAGTTCCATCTTTTTCAAGTACCTCTTACTAGATATTGAGTTTCACGTGCCTGGTGTAGGGGACTTTGTTCATCTTGCCAGAACAAACCTTACCTTTGTGACTGATGTATAGTGTGTGGTAGAAATTGAATGCACTTCGTCCTCATTCTGACTTTCCTCGGTGTGTGTAATTCTGTGGATTGGTACTGTTTCACTGTGGTCATTCTGAAATGCAGACATACACATTGGAGCAACAGCAAGCAGCTGTGTCACTTTTCATTCTGCAGGTTTCCTTTGGGAGGGTCAGAAGTCATGGAGAAAAGTAGTTGATCATTTGTGTGTATCAGATTAACCCTCTTTTGTTATACATTGATGTTTAATCAACACGCTAAAAATGGTACCAAAGCTGTGTGTCAACATATAATCAATTAAATTTATTTTCTTGTTTCATTTGTCAGCTATCAGCGTCTGTAAACACTCCAAGTTACCTCGGTATGTGTGATCAAAGCAAATAACAAAGAATAAATCTAATTGTACAATTCTTTACTTGAAGATGGGTGTCTTCTGGGTTGTAGCACCGTGTAGTGTAGTCTGGTAGAAGTTTATTGATGTTTCAGAGGTACTTGCTGCCTCCATCATCAGGGCAATGAGTAGGAGGAGGTACTTTTATAAAATCTCCAAGTGATTCTGGTTTCACTGTATGTATGTTGAAGAAAATAATCCTATGTGCTGATGGCACATGCATGTTAACGAATTTATTTGAAGAATATTATTGAACATACTTTGTAGTCTCCTACTTCTCCTTTATGGAACACAATCTTCGTCAGAACTTCAAACATGTAGAATGTCCATAAACTCCCCCACATGATCACAGCTGTGCTGAGATAATTTTTGTCTTTTATTTCAAAACCCTGTAACAAGAAGTATATCATACATTACCCATATTTTGAGCATCTGTAGTAATATGACTGCTTTTGTTTTCTTCTCCCTAGCCACTTTCTTCCTCTTGTTTCAGAGCAAATCAGTTGTAATTCTGAGTGTCCATATTACTCGTGCGTGTACATACCTCAGGAATCAGTTGAAATGTTGATGTTGCTGATAGAGAACCAACAGCAAGACCAATGAGAATTCGCATCATCTGGTTGTAAAACTTGGAATTGATTAGTGGCCAGAAGAGACCTCCAAACAATCCTGACAAACTGATGAGTGCAACAGAACAAAGACCAAATCCCCAAACTGGAAATTACAAGATTGCATTAGGATATTTGGTGTTTTTCATTATACCCTAGAATTGAATGCTTATAATTTAAATAGGTCCAGCCATCACTGTGTTCCTTAGGTACCTTCAGAATCTAAGTTACGTACAAATTCATAGGACTATTGATAATCTCTAAATTAATTCTAAGGAGCTACCTTCATGTAGACTCATAGGTAGATGCCAGTGTTAGCATCTACCTGTGACACCAAAACCCAAAATATCATCCTAACTGCCTTGGAAACCTTAAATCTCACATTTAAATTACAAAGTATAAAAATGGTGCAGAATTGTTTCTTGACAAATTAATGAACTTGACAAAATAATAGATAATTAGAATGCCGCATGATCATGAGTAAAGTCTTTCATTAAAATGCAATAGGCATGCCAGAATAGTTTTTATAGCAGCAGACTGTGATTTTGTATGAGGGGGTGGGGGAGAATGGAAGTTTTGACAGTAGGTAGCCAGAGTGTGCTGCTCACTTGTTTATCTGTAGCATGTTGGCACTATTGTTTATTGAACTGTGAGGTAGGAACTTTGTAATTTAATTTTAATGACTGAGGAGACCGTGAATACTGCCACCAATTCACTTGTTGCGCTGCCATCTGGATTTCCTATATACTGCTCAGAACTTTGACCTAACGTCCTTTCAGTTTTTTTATTCTTCCCTCAGAGTGACAAACCAAGTTTCACACTCATTCATTGGGTATAATACAGTATTTGTATTTGTATTTTAATTTGTAGAAAGAAATAGAGAAAACAGTTTCATTACCAGACCAATCTGCCTGCTGGCATAAAAGATAATTTTGATGTTCTTTAGGTAGATATAATTTTTTTTCACTATGTTATCATGACACACATATAAATGAAATGCCATGTAGCTTGGAATGTTTTATCAATATTAAGTATTGCAAATGTTATCTGATATGTTGCAATAAAAGATATCATTGAGACCACTTTATTATTTATCAGGTAAAGTACCAGGCCTGATTAGCCAGTATTTTTAAAAAGGTGTTACAGGAATTCTGTATGTCACAGTATTAAACTGTGTAAAAATTTTATGAATGTTACTGTTCAGCTAGTCAATGAAATCCTTATTTTTCATGGAACCCAGAGGTTATTTACTGTGATTACCAGACCTTGCCATTGGTGCCTATCCCAAGTCAGATGAATCCAGTCCACACCCTCCAACCCAATTTTCATTATAATGTTATCCTCCCATCTATGCCCAAGTCTTCAGAATGGTGTTTTCCCTCCAGGCTTACTAACCAAAATTGTGTATGCATTTCTTCATCATAATAACATTTGGTGAAAACAAATTTCTCTAACTTGAAATGTTTGTATGGCTGATATTTTAGAATTGTAGAAAATAAGAATTAAATGCCTTCCAATGCTTTGTCCATCTTATTTCATTTTATAAAAATTGGCAAAGTCAAAAGTCATTTTTGAGACTTACACGCTCAAATCATGCATCATATGATATGCTCCTTTTCAACTTGGACTAAACTTAGAATGAGTTACTTTTGTTAATCACAAGTGACAGCTGTGGATCTTGTCATTGTCCTGTCTCCTAGGATGTTGCACCATGTACTGTGGTGGAAATTGAGCTACAGTTTACTCTGAAACGTGGTAAATTTATACCAGACCACATGATGTAACATCCCAGAGGACAGCCATCTTACTCATCACTGTGAGAACCTGAAGTCTCACCAAGTATAAGCTACTTTGTGTTTTCTGTAGTGTCCATATTCTGATAATGTCTGTTAATTCTCTTGGTTCCTTAAGACATTTTATTGTGTTAGATTGTGATATGTACTACTACACATTCTGTGTAATAGGAACAAATTAACAAAAGGTTTAGTTGAAGGTTTACCTTTTACTGATGAGGGTTTGTTGATGACAGTGTGCTGTAAAATGTCATGTTGAATTTCTTCATCATACTTGAGCCATGAACAAGTAGCATTATTCTCCATTCCATTTTGAGATGTACTCGGTGACAGTGCTTCTATTTTATTACACTGTGTAGAGAAATTGAGCTTTAGCAGAAGTAATCAAATGGAACAGAATTCATATGCTCTAGGTCATATGTCTGCTGGCTTCAATTCTTTGAATATAAAAGTGGGATTACTAATAGGAAAGGCCAGTTACAGACAGTCTCTGACTTATGTAAGGATTCATTTCTGCAAACCCATAGGTAAGCCGTATTTTATGTATGTCAGAAATTACCATAAGTATTTAGATTTTGTCATTATATACTTTGATGGTACTCTACATATAGTAAAAATAATATAACATTAACATACACCTAACATACCTTAATTCATAATGGTAATTGTTCAAAAATTGATTAAACTCTGAATAATTTGATTTAAAACATCATTGAATATATGGTTAAAAATGTATTTTCTGAGACTTTTATTTACAGTCAAATTTGTATAAATATTGATTAACCCAGACAGTTACTTTATAAACAAAAGAATTGGGGGTTTTATACATTGGTATGTATGGTTTTATTGTTATATGTTACTCATTGCTTGTTAATTTGTCTTAAGAAAGATATTAGAATAAGTACTTACATGAATTGTGACTTCCTCCAGAATTCACCATCACGAGTCATATAACTAAACATTTTTGCAACTCTACAGTGTGTCTGCCAGTCACACTGTTTTATGACAGCTGTGTTGAGCCTATATGTGTTCATGTGAGAGTGGATTAAGTCCCTAACCAGTTGTTTATAATTCCTGCTTGTACTGTAGCTGTTGGTTAAATGTAATCTTTACAGCTTCATGAGTGTAATCTCTGAAGTGCTCGAAGGAGCCATGTCTGAAATGTTATCTATCTACATATGAGGCCAGATGGTGTCACAGCCCAGAACAACATTGACATCTTCACTCAAATATGTATTTATATTTGTACAAGAAACAAGTATTTTATTTGTGCTATGACCTGTTCTACATCCTTGGCTTAGGTCTATGAAGGATCTATGGAATGTAAATAAATTCTATTCTGTGGGAACCTGAAATGTTGTACAGCATGTTTGTTTGGTGGCTTCTGTTTCTGAAGGGAACAGTCGCATGTTGTCACTTTCTTCTGGCATCCAGTAATTTTTTGTTTCAGATTGTGATCAATAGTGATTCCTCTGTGGAACAAGGGAATAGGCTGTTTCCATAATTTCAGTTTCAATTTTAACAAATAATAATGAGAGTAAGAAGATATTTTTTGGAAATTTAAGATATGTTTTATCAAACTGCAATTAGCAGCAGTGCTGTGAACATGATTTACATCTTTTTCTGGCTAGTCCAAAAATTTATGGTTTGTTGAGAGGAGGAAACTGATTCAAATCAGTTGGTCTGGTTTTTGCATGCAGGAGTCGCATCTGTATTATATTTACAGTTCTCCTTTTGACTTGAATTATTGTGGAAGTGATAAAGGAATTACAGTCATCTTCATATTTATACACTGTCTTTTCTGCTTTTATCATGGTACTGCTCGTAATTGTATTGTGATAAAATTTCCATTAGCAGCAAATTTCCTCTAAAACAGTTGATAAAATGTAGTCAGTAGGTTGTTTTGGTGGAAGCACAGATTTTGTATTGGTTAATATGTTGTGCTGTATCTGCACTACGTTTACAACAGTTATTAATCTTCAGTGACATTATCTTTATGTTCTTCCAGTATTATCTGGCTGTACACTTCATTCACTAACATGCACAGGATTTCATTGTGTTGTTTAATAGACAAAGCTTCACTGAATGACAGACTACACATATTAGTAATGGCAACAGCCTACTACTAAACCATGTGATGTCACCAAAATAAATCCATCACTGAATAATCCATCTCATCAGTTTTATTTCATAGCTTCTCACATTCTCAGCATGTTCTTGTGGAAGATACAGTCTCTGTTAAGGGGAATTTGTACCAAACAATAAAATGTTGTGGTTAATCCTTCTTCACATTCAGTGGAACAAGATTCAGATCTGTACTGGAATGGACCAAACATTGAAGTTTTCCATGGATTTCATCAATAATAATACTATCATCTTGATTTCAAAACCATCCCTCCAGTTAACCAGTTATTAAGGAAAGACATATATTGGTATATACATTTTCTGTATCAGTATCAAATTTCTTTCATCATTATTGAAACATACTGAATTATTGAAATTTACATTTTCATAGAACATTAATTTTTGTATTCTGATCTTATGATTTATTAGGGACTGATAAACATGTTGGTCCAGAAATAAATTCAGAAAAAATTGTGTTAATGTGTCCTTGCCAGAACACAAGAAATATCTAACAAGTCAGGAAATGTACAAATAACAGTTGCGGCGTGTTTGCCAGGATTTGAGTTTTGTCCGATGAACACGGCTCATGGGAAAACAAACTATGGTAACAAATTTGTTTTCATTTGTTGACTTTTATGCTGAAATTTGTTGCACTGTCACAACAGATTTTGTTTCATGAAAAGGTAACACACAAAACACCATTTTATGATACCAATGAATGTAGCTCTACCTAAGAGCCACAATGTGCAGTAGGCTGCAGCCAAGGTGCCAAATTGAAACTTTTTGAGTTAATCCTATTAGCTGGTATATATTTTAAATATGCTGTGAGTAATAAAAGATGCAAATCATAAAGGTAATTTACAGACACGCAGTATACTATGCCCATTTCTCCTGGGGAACCAGTGATGAAACAGTGTACTTGCTGTAAGCGTACCTGAGTTGTTATAATGCATATGCCTGTTTCTCCAGGTGTGCAGGTTGAGGCGTGTTGAGCCACCTCTTGCTGGATGTGCTCTAGGACTCTCGACAGCTGATGGTGAGGTCTGTCTGGTGGAGTCTTGTACAGGATAAGGACAGTATTGTTACCACTAAACAGTTTGATTTCATGTCTGTTCATGGCATTATTAAGCCACGGAAGTGTAAGCAGTGTTACAAATACTTTACCAAAGCACATATTTTGAGACCTTAGTACTTGTAAATTTTTTATCACTTGACAACTCTAGACTGGTCATGAACTTTATTTGCTATGATATTTACGTGTGGCTGTGCAAGAAGAATATTAAACTGCAGGATACTCAAGATCATTACACTCTAGTCATATGAGTGACCTTTGAACATTTTAAGTAATATGTTGTACCTAAGTCAATAATGTTTTATCATGATATGCTAAGATTGTATATGATGTGCTTTACTATGGAATTGTGTGAATTAAGATAATGGATGGAGTACTATGATATGGTAAACACTGATGTCATCCTTTGATATGTATGTGTGTGGGCTTTCCTGGCAGTTGAACTTGTATGCTCTGTCACTTAAAATGAGCTTTTCATATGCTAATTAGTTTTAAGGTCATTATGTAGTGAAAGTACAGATTTCATATTCAGTCACAACACTGGGACATTTTGTCAACACACATTAAATAAAATGACTTTATTAAATATGAACTTGATATTATAAAAAGTTATATACACATATATGTACTATTTATTTAGTAATTCTTATGGAAAAGTTGCATGATGAAGCACCATATACTTTCTATGTGGAAATAAATGAATAATTATGAGTTCTATGATTATGTATGTCAGCCTTCAGTTTGTTTCCACAAAAGAGACACTGACCAAAACAAAGCTCCATTCTGTTTTCACGTTTCTATTACAATATTTTAATTGTTGTGGGTTATTCACATGGTAGGATAAGAAGAAATGAGAAATGTTTATTCCTTGTTCCATACAAATTAGAGTTTTAGTATGCTGCATGAAGATTCACTGGTAGCAACAGCAGCAAAATATTCACACACGGGTTTCCTGTAATTTTTCGGGCCTCTGCTGGTATTCCATCTCCTTTTGTCTTACGCGGGCATAAGCTGTGCTGCCACCTAGCACTACCCAGTTGGAAAACCACCACAGCAGTGACTTTGTCTCGCTAAACCAATAGGTTGCCAACACTGTCTGCACACACGCCTTAGCCGTACCAGAAATATTGTGTGTCAATGGGGAAGTCACCTGCATAAAAACAATCAAATATTATGGTTCTGAAAAAATATCACCAGGTTTTAACAGGGAAATACACTTTATAAACTATTTACATTTCTCTATCATCCTCACAAGATCCATCTTAATGTTTTCCTTCCATCACTTTCTTGTTCTTCCAAGTGAGTGTTTGCAAAGAGGTTTCACCACCAAGATTCTGTATGCATTCCTTGTCTCTCCTATCCTAACTACATACTTTCATAGTCTCCTACATTTCATCATAACAATACTAGGTGATCTGTATATATTGCAAAATTATTACCAGTATTTTGGAAATCGGATGGATGATAATTTTTAGCCAAATAATAATGAGCAATTCCAGAACGCATTCTGATTGCATCCAGAGCCTCACTGTATGTGTTGGTTTTCCCAGATACTTCAATTTTTTAACATTTCCAATAAATATTTAAAACATCATATGAAAGTTTACCATAGTAGATAAGAACTCACACAAGCAAAATATAACACAGTGTAAACAAATAATTGGCAACCTACTCAGTAAACCTCAACAAGTCTAAAATTGTAAAAAATGTAGAATTTCACCTGAATTTGCAGAGCAGTGACAAAGCCTATAGCAAAGCCACATAAACCCCCCCCAGTCATGAATAGCCAGAACTTGGCATCTGCCAACTTCTCATAGTTCAGTATCACAGGTATTTCCTTATTGATGGCAATCAAGGGCAGAAACAGAAGGCAGCTGTATACGTTGTTGTAGTAGGACAGTAACCAGATGTGTTGGTTAACATGTGGCAGTACACGTTTTGTGTAGATGGAATACATGGAAAGGGCCAGTGAGCCCAGAACTCCAAAAACTGTGCCTGCTATGGACAAGGAACCTGAAAAAGTAGCCTGTAGGTAATAACAAGACATGCTTATGTAATACCATGAATCATTTCATAGGAGCTAGTATGTTGAGTAATGTAAAATATATATTCATTTTAACTCTTTCACTGCAGGGCTCACAATACTACAAGGCACAGTTCAAACTTCTTGGCTCTGGATCCCATTTTTATGCAGACATCATCTTCCTGGAAAGGTAGGACATCTGTTGACACTACGTAGGAACTTTTGTTTCTGTTGTATATAATTTTTCCTATAGGATTTCACAAGGTATAGTTTGTTTTTAAAGTTGTACCAAATTGTAGGTGGTAGTGTGTTAAGTGATTGCAATGGTTTCTTTTAGATGTAAGCAGATGGTGTAGGATGACATTAGTAACTCCTGTTTATGCATTGCATTCTTAATTGTAGGGTGAATATAAGGATTGTAAGTAGTCTAAAAAATAAGAAGATTTTAAAATTAATTTATACAGTCAAGGCATTTTGTACTACCAAAACAGTTAAGAAATTAAGCAACTAGAGATAGAGTATGCACAAAAAGGAACAAAGCATTTCCCTAGATAGAGAGATTTAATATTTCATAATGCAAAAATATTATAAAGTAAATTATTTATTTCCATTGAGTTCTATGTTATGACAATCTTCATCAACAATTTATGGGTAAATACTGCTGTTCCCCATCTGCATCCTGTATGTTCCCAATGATGTTATCTTTTATGAAGAGATTTCTGTTTAGCTACCCCACACATTCTACATACTCAGTCCATTATGGTGGAGTAACATCCTCATTACCTGCCACATTTTCTTGGTCAACACCAAGCCAGAATCCGCCAACAATTACAGCACAGCACATTATTGTTTGGGGTGAAGTCTTCTGGCCTACAAATGATACACACGGAATTAAATTAAATGGGCCCTAGAGCAGCTGTTTCATTGTGGGTCCAGGTGCCCTGATAGGGGTGGCAAGCTGAGTCATGAATTTATTTTTCTTGGGCCATTCTGGAACAGCATCTTACAACAAACTGCATCGATACACGATGAAGATGGCTGCCTTCTGGATTGTGGCACCATGTAATCACGTAGAAGTTTACTGATGTTTCAGAGGTCCTTGCTACTGCCATCATCAGGGCAATGATTGCCTGATGATGGAGGCAAACTTCTACCAGGCTACATGGTGCTACAACCCAGAAGACAGCCAACTCCAGACTAAATGCTGTAAGAACCTTAAATCCTACTTAAAAATATGTAATTCATGATTGAACTATTTAATAATTAGGCAAATCTTGAAAATCAATGATGTAATAAGTACTATCCTACAATGCATTAAAATATAAATTAACTTTTTGATAAGTAAAGCTGCCCTACTACATGCCATGGTGGCATTCTTACTTATTCTAGACCTTAGTGCTAGATGGGTCGTGAGTGGTCAGCATCATGAGGCTGTGTGGGCCTTTCAGCCAGTCTGGATGCAAAGGCTAGAAACAAATTCCTTTGTTGCTGATTGAATGCTGGTTGTCCAGGCTGTAGTCAGACAGTATACTGACTGGGCTACTCAGCTCCTAATTTTTTGAGAACACATCTTTTATGCAAATACTATATGGTTTGTAACACATTCACTCACCTAATATTAAATATGTTAATATAACATTAAAAACTGTTGTTAAGGAGCGTCCTATATAGTAGAATGCAACATCTACATACTTAAGGGATAAGTTGTTGAATGCTATGGTTCCCGTGAACAAGATTGACAGTGGAAGCACCTGAAATTACAATTTTACATACATATACACTTCAGTACCATATAATGAAGATAAATTGACAATGAACACAATCCACAACAAACCTTTGCTGCCACTTCACGTTTCAAAGGTGAACCTTCTGGAAATGTGAAAGTTCGAGGAAATAACTTTGTCAGCATACTTAGTGTAAAACATATTGCTGCCGAAACGACACACTGGTACCAAGTCACAAACAAAGGGGCATCGAGGCCGACAGTCTGACTGCTCAGAAGTGCCTTGTTCACAAACACAGTCAATATGGATATGATCCTAAAAAAAGGTTCAAAATTATTTTTATTATTCTTCTTTGAAGAATCACATTTGAGAAACCAGTATGGTAATAATAGATACACATTTTTTAAACAAAAACAACATATGCTAGAATTTCTCATATTCCTTTGTTATGAAAATATGTTCAATTGTTGTAATCACTTCCCCCTTATTCCAGATATGAAGAGTCTGTGGATATTTAAATACATTTTCCTATTGCCCGCTAGAATTTGATCAATACGTCGCAATTTGGGCCTTTTCGCTTTTTCATCACAAGATTTCAGCATAACCATAAGTAGGAGCTGGTATTCATGGCTTAACGTAGCAGTATAATTGTGCCTCACATAATAATGTAGAGAAACATTATAAAAGGGAGTATTTAGTATTTGTGGTGTACAATCAGGCAAGTTTGTCCCGCTATGTGCCGTAAAGGCGTTTGGGGTGAGTGGAGGTATAGCTCCTCTCTTTCTTGACCTTGGCATTAGATGGGGGTGAGTGGTCGGCATTACGCCCCGGCCGTCTTTACCCCAGGGAAAGGACCCCAGTACCCATTATAGAGGAGGTTTGGTAGGCCCCAGAGCCGGTCTGGACGCAGAGGCTAGAGGAAAAATCCTCTGCCCCAGTCGGAGATCGAACCGGCCCGTAGCTAGTCACTATACTGACTGAGCTATCCCGGCTCATAATACAATCAGGCAAGTGCTTTCTAAACTCATGAAACCTTACAGCATACTATTGGAAGGACTTTTGGCCCGGTTAAGCTAACCCATTCGTCTTTTAAAAATCAGTAATTGATCTGTGACCTCCTTAATTTCATAATTAAAATACTACACTCCGGCAAAATGCATCAATGGGAACACGTGTACCTTTAAACTGTGCACGGAGGAATAAAGTATTTGAAACATAACCTATACACATACCAATAAGAAGCTACAACTGCCGCTATATGAATATATTGGGTTAAAAGCCCTTTCTGTATCATTTTTAACTGCTTTGTAGATACCACAGATAACTACATGGAGACACAGCATTTATAGTTAAGTCACTTTACATTCTGTTTTACAGACTGTAACGTTCAACTTAATCATCATACAATAAAAACCGTCAAGTTATCTACGATTGCCAACGTGACACCTCACAGGAAAGCAAACACTGATTCGATGGCTCCCATTGCTACGAACGGCCAAATGTTCGTTGCTGGTATTAATCTATGCGTATGTTAAAAAGTATATTTGATGAGAAAGTGAACAATTTGCAGAACAGGGATTTTTATATTCCGTTGTACAAGCCCAGTCTTCCTTGCATCAGGGGTAGAACCCTTTCTTCACATGTGAAGATATGGGTGATTCAGTTTCCTTTGTGAGTGGCAGTTGTTCCTAGAGGGCATATTATTTAATATTTTGCTTATTACAGTACTTGAAGTAACTCCTGAGAAGTATGGTATGTGTCGTGAGATTTTTTTGCCCCCTAACCCCTACATCAAATACATCTACATGCTATCACCTTGCTATAATAGCGCCATACACCAAAGACGTCAATTATTTGACTTCGAAGAAAAAGAAGGTGACGATCGATGTGCGGGAATAGTTGTCTGCTGTGGTGATGTCATAAGTTTTTACTTGTTACACAATTATAATTCTGTTCTGGTTTTTATTTCTTATTTGTGGCCTTTGCTATGAATGGCCTGCAATTGTTTATTCAGTCAGAAACATGTTCTTGGTGTAGACGTGATTCGTGGTTTAGGCTAATATTACTTTGCTGTTTCGACTCATTTGATAAGAAACGTAACTTCAAATTGGTGTGTGACAGATCTGAAGTGAATTACAGCGAAGTTGACAGGACTTAGGATATGAAATTTCTAGGTTCATATACTTTTATCATTTAACATATCTGTTTCCAGATATGTTCGTTTTCGACATTCCATCGTTTTGTGTAACTGATTATGTAATACAGCATATCAAGGTAGGTTACATGAGACTGGTTTACTAATAGGTCAATTGCTAACAAGGTTACTGACCCAGTCTGAGTAGTTTAGTCTTATTACTCGTTATAAATAACTCTTCCTGAACGAATGAGTTTTCTGTGACTAATATGTATTTTAATTTTCAAGCTGGAAGTTGCATATTACCAGGAATGATCATTTTATTCAAGAATGAATCTGCTACTCCATCCTGAAACAGCATGGCAAATATTTGGCAGCTGAAAATTATCTTAATTATTCTACTTGTTATATGCACAACAAGCATGGTATTCTTTGTAGGAAATTTATCACAATTGGAAAATGTTGAAGGTATGCTTTGAATTATTACTTTAATGTATTACAGTATGTGATTATTCTAAAACACAGGGTTTATTCCTAAATGTATAGCATAACTGTTGTTGAGTATTTGTATTACTAATGAAGCATGTCAAACAATTATTAATATAAGTTTATTACAAAGTTTTGTATGTTGTTTTAGTTAGAATTATAGTTTATTTACATACCATAGATCCTTTGTTTGATGTAAGTTGAGGCTTGAAAACATGTTCTATAATTTATTTTTCATGTAACTATAAATATGTTCCATATATATTAAATGCAAGAAATTGTAGCTACATAATTGGTTCTAATAACTATTTATATAAATTTTATACTGTAAGAACATCAAATAGAACAAGATATTATATGAAAAAATGTCATCTTTTTAAATAAGTATTTACAAAACTTGAGAATTCTTTAGTAAAGAAATTATTTCTAAAATTTAATGGAGTGTGTATGAGTAGTTTGAAACAATAACATTATTAATACACTGGATGTTAAAAAACAGTACTTCAGCATTTATCTGTATTATTGTTGTTTGCACAGCTTTACACAGTATATTTTCTCATTTCTTAAAAATAAAATTAATTTATATCATATTTTGTTACAAATATCAACAATATGTTAACATGTGATTATGTGATCTGAGCTGCAACAGATTTGTGTGTGTATGCGTGTGTTTTAGTGCAGAATAACCCACATTTATTATGCCAAGCCTCACTCATAAGTTTTTCTCAAACTCCAGAGCAGTGAACACATTAGCAGTAAGAAATATTCCTTTACCAGAGAAAACAGCTGCAGATGTTCTCCTGAAGGGACTGAGAAACTCTGTATCCATTAAAAACCTCTTTGTATTCTAGTATGAGATGCAACTTCTCGTTTTTGATTCTGAAGAATATAATTAGAGTTTTTAAAAATTAAGCTCTAATAAATTCAGTTTCAAAAGTTTATCTGCATTTTGTTATAAACATGTATATTTAGTTTGGGATACACATCATATGAGATTTTGTGTTCTCTTCATTGCCTCCAAACATATGATGAGTATAATTAAAATTGATCATTACCTTACACTTTATTTTCAATCACTGTAGTTTAGTTGTTAAATCTTCAGCAAGTAATAAGTTTACATGTTGAAGTCTGCAACATAATTATTGTTTATACAGATCAAACATTTGAGCCACTTGTGTATCGCCATCTCTTTGCTAATGACTCCAATCAAATCCTGCTAACACGCATGGTATATTTGGATCGACAAGAACTTTTGCAGAAAATGTGCCACAACTACATGCAGGACTTTAAACATGAGCCAAATGCTACGAAGTACAGAGAGATGTTTGATCACTTACTGGTTGATGAGAAACATAGGTTACTGTACTGTTATGTACCCAAGGTGTGTGTTATACAAGATAAGTGCTTATTATTTTGCCCCTGTAACAGTTTCATTACTGCATGACTTTATATTTTTTTACACATATTATTCTTTATTTTTAAAAATTGCATACATGCTGTAACTTTTATGTACACTATATTTAGAATGTTAATGTAAATAAATCACTTAATGTGCAATAATAGCATTGCATGTTGAGAATTTATTTTTTTACAAAAGATTACTTCTGTGTGACTTACAAATTTACTGTCATGTACAGAGTACATTTCTGAGATATTTTTCTTTTAATATGTGCTTGCTAATGGAGCATGCATTTGGGCACCACAGGTTTTATGCATGTTGTCTCCTACAATTTTTTTTAAGCTCTTCTTAGACACAATCGGAGGATGTTGAGTAAAGTGATGATACCAGCTAAAGTGCAGTGTACATCTGGTGGACATTCATCCCCAGACAGAAGTCTCAGTGACAGTGACAGAAGTCAATCCGTATTACTCTGTAGGTTTTCCTCCATTTGCTTTTCTCCTTTTCGTTGCTTTCTATCCTGTCTGCCATAAAATGGTTGTTACAGGTTAAGGGTCATTTACATTTATTCTAAGGTAAAAGACTCACTTAAGAAACATGTGTAGATATGACTTTTTAAATTTAAATGCACAGATTAGTAACTTCATATTACAGAAGGTAGTTGCGCACTTGGAATTAATTGCTGGGTGAAGTTTTTTCATCCATTCAGCTTATATATAGGCCTAATGTTTTTATGTTTGTTTTTTCAGGTAGCATGCACTAACTGGAAACGTGTGTTTATGATTCTTATTGGATTGGCTAACACTACAGACCCCCTAAAGATTCCAGCTAGTGCAGCTCATCAGAAAGCTGTTATTACAAGGCTTAGCAACTATTCTTCAACAGAAATTGATTATATCTTGCAGACATTTACAAAATTTCTGTTTGTTCGCCATCCATTTGAACGATTATTGTCAGCATATCATAACAAATTAGAACAACATTATGAGAGTTCAAAATATTTTCAGTCTCGATTTGGGCGACATATCATCAAACATTACAGACAGAATGCTTCAAACGAATCATTGACAAGAGGTGATGATGTCACATTTAAGGAATTTGCTGCATATTTGATAGGAGAAGAAGGTGTTTTAAATGAACATTGGAGACCAATTTATGACTTATGCCACCCGTGCTCAATCAGTTATGATATTATTGGTAAATATGAAACATTAGTCCAAGATTCAGAATTTATATTAAAACAGGTGGGAGAAACTGGAATTTCATTCCCACGAGGCCCAGGATCTTCTAGCACTACATCAAATCTTCAAAAATACTTTGGTACTCTCGAGGATGATATTATTAGCCAGCTGTATAATGTATATATTATGGATTTCAAATTATTTGGATACAATTTACAAGAATTTTTAGGCTATGAAACAGGTTGAATTACTCCTTTTCTCAGGTAATAATGCTCATGAAAGGCATTACTTCACCAGGCCGGCTTACTGGTTCTTAGTCTTTTATAATTTATTACTGTGGTTTTAAAAATAGATCATGACAGTAGCATTATGATAGGCATCCCCAAATAATGGATAATGGGCACAAGATCTGGTATACTAAATTACTGAAGTACAATATCTTATCTGGGTACTGTGCAATTTCTACACGATATTTTTTAAGTTTACTTATATAATTTTTACTGTTAATATGCGTACTGTATTTAAACTACTGATACATTGAAGGTGATCACATATCAGAATAATGAAACGTTATGATTTAGAGCCAAACAAACCACAGGGCAGATCTGACAATGTTTCAAATTTTTAACTGCTTATAATGGACTAAGATTGTCAAAATGAACATAGTGCAATATTTTCTGGTGTGCCCTGTATTATGCTTTCTGCTTGCCATATACACATGCTCCATCTCTCTTGCAGATTGTGCTGTCAGGTTTTGTTGTGGGCAGATTATGCTCCAAGTGTGTCTGCATTGCTGTGTTCATAGTTAAGTGTCAAACCCTGATTTGCCAATGCTGTGAAATATTACTTAGGAATAAATAATTAAAATCTGTGAATAATTAAAAGGAATATTAGCCCTTTTGTGATAGTAAATCCATTCCTGACATATCGCTGTTTATAAAGGAGTATTAAAGTATCATGTCTACAACCTTATAGAAGTTGTGGTAAATGTTGCCCTGGTGTTTCGTGGTGCTAGACGTATTAGATGTACTGTATTCAATGAGTATAATATTTTTTGGATGTGATTATTAAATGACACATTTTTGAAGTGTGACATATCCCTCTAAATTAAGGGATGGCTTTTTGAAGTTTCAGTAATTCAAAAAATCCATTTACAGAGAATATTTATGACATACTTCTGTGCAGCCTGTAGCCTGTGAATCTGTACTCATGGATTTACAAGGCACTAAATAAATTAAACTGAAATTTCTGAAAGCATTTGGAATTTTATGAGGTGTCTGTATCTACAAACAATTTCCCTCAGTATTACAAGCACATTATTAGACTTATTTTAAAGTACTTACGTTTATATGGAACTGATTCTGAGGAGGAGGCTAAAAGGACAACATCTGAAAAATGAATTAACAGTTTCCTCATATAATATTAAAGTGGACATTTGTGTCTTTATGAAAGGTGTCTGTGTGATACTGAATCAGTGGGGAGCAGTCTAAAACTACTGTCCATGTGAATGGCTTCATGAAATTTTTTGTAATTAAATTAATTAAATAAAATTACTTACAAATAACATAACAGAAATTTACACTGTTTTCTAACAATTTTAGATTGTTCTGAAGTGATCTTTGTTGTTTTCAGTATTGACTGCTCTGATTAGGTTGCACACCCTAGTTGATAGGCTGACAGCAAAGCTACAAAGTCATCTAGCAATTATAAGAATTTGTATGTTACACTTCCATATTAATGTAAAACATTTCATTATTAAGAATTTTTGTATTCAGTCTAATTGAATTATTGCAATGTCTGATGAAACTGTGACTTGACACTAGTACACCGAAACATCTGTACCTGATGTCTTATGTAATTATTTTTTGTGCCATTTCATATATGTTGTTAAGCAGTAGTGCTTTGCTTTTTTTTTATAAAAGTGGATGTAAAATTTCTGCTGAACTGGAGCCTTGTTTCCTATGAGTTAACATGATCAGATCTCAAATTTATCGTCATGTCTGTGTGCTAAGAACATATTGCGTAATTGTGAAGTTTTTTGTGAGTTATTCGGAGTAACAGCTTGTATAATAATCACCACACACTCTCTCTCCTGAAGAAGGTTCAAAACCTATTATTTTAGGCTAGCCACCCAGTTAGATACCTGTATAAATGACTTTTCTTACAGGAAGAATGGCTGCAACCATAAAATTGCACTTGTATGTATCAACTTATGTTATATAAGTTACGTATATTAACACACATTCTAACTTGGTGAGTCATATTGCTGTTATAATGTGTTATGATGCTTATTGCTAATTATGAAGGTGGAATATAAACATTTTCTAGTGTTCTATAATGTGAAATGTTACAGTATCATATTTTAAAAATTCTGCTTTGGCTTAATGCTGTCACTGGTCATTTCATTAGGATATTTGTGTGATAACAATATTGCTTCATCTTTTGATGTCATGTGTGTATTAGATAATTTTTGTAAACATGTAACTACCGTAAGGATAAATATGAGACTTCTTAAATGTAAAAAAGAGCAAGTTAGAAACTGTTTGTATATCCTAAAATATTGTTCAAGTTGCTGTATCAGCTGGATGTTGAATAACCACTGCCAATATGAGATAATGTCAGCATCTGTAAGGAAAATTGTGTATTCAGCTTAATGTTCTTCTGTTTGGAAACTTTTACTAATTTGCATATGGAAATGGAAACATTATCTTGTCCTTTGTGATTAGTTGCACTACAGTTTAAATAATTTCCTTAAAGTAATATTAAGATAGGCCATGCTGTATCTCCGTTAACAGAGCTGATTTAACTCCTTCACTCTTAGGAGCAATTTGTGTTCTGCGAAGAATATTAATGATTCAATGTGTGGGAGTACTAATCCAATGAATTAAGAAGTTTGGACATGTGTTTCATCTTCACGTGGTTTTGTAGGTGGCCATGAAAGTGCATCATGATCCATCTGTGGGATTTCTGTTGAACAGCATGGTCAAAATTTCTAGTGTCACAAAGCAGAATTTTATTTTTGTAAATTTGTTTGACATGACAACTGTAAAGAATCAAATTTATACATTTATGGTGATCTAGGGGAAATACCACAAATTTGTTTGGCGAACATCCAAAGTGTTAAGTGGAGATAGGATGTTGAGTCTCTGCTGTAATCGCTTCTGATGCACCATTTATTATCATCCTTGTAACTGATTCACTGTAATGTAATATGTGGAGTTAGACTAGGAAAAAATAATCTTACTTTGTAGATAATTACTAAACCGCAACAGACAACAGAAATTGAATATTGAGGACTAGCATGTGATAAAGATATCCACCTTTAGGAATTAATATACAATTAATAAAATCAATAATGGTTGTTAAATGTAATGTTCTCCTCATAAGTGGAAGCCTCTGTTTAGCATTAAGTTACATTAATGAATGGAAGTAATGGAAAAATAAATCAGCACACTTATTGTTACTTGTATTTGGTTCCAGTTGCTAAGTTTTTGGTTTGAGTGATATCAAAATGGCTTCACTGAGAGGTGATTATTGGTGCAGTGTACTTAATTCAAAATTCTCTGCTCAGATGTGCAATGTGGGTGGTAGTTTTAAATTGAGAAGGTGCAGTTGCAATTGAACACAAGTATTAAAACAATTTACTCAATTGTTATCTTGAAATACTCTTATTTATACTTATTTTTTGTCATATAGTTCAGAGATATCATAATAATAATGTTTGTGAGATATTTGTTGTTTTATACAGTGAAGTTTATTTTTATGTTTGATAAATCAGTATATGTATGTGTAATTGTGACATTTGTAAAACTAAAAAGTACTGCTGTGGGCAGGTCCCTTGGTCGACTTTTTTCAAGAAGCGATACTTCACACACAAAAAAGGAAAACTATTTGTTAATGAAACAAGCAAATTTTGAATCTATTGTTTTATATGTAAATAGTGACATATTTTATATTAAAATGTAAATGGTACATATATTTATTTCCGGTTATACAATGTTTATACATTTTTCCGGTACCCAAGGTTACAATTGAATTTGACATTTTACATTCTAACTTTTCTTCTCCATTCTTGTCTGTTTGCCCACAAATCCTCTTCAATATTTCTCTCCCTCATTGATGATTGAATTTCCTGTATCCTGGTGTTTGGAGGATGTCCTCTTTTCCTTCTTCCAGGTGGTACCCATTCCATGACAAGATCAAATTATCTAGTTTTGGGTTCAGGAGATATTACACTCATTGTGTTGCTTTTATACTAGTTCAGTTATTCTTTACAAAGTGATTGGCTTTAGAGTAATGCTTGTCATTTTCTTCCTGATTACATTAAATAACCCCAGTTTCATGGAAAACTTATGAAATAATTTGCACAATCATACAAGGTATGGATGATCAATTACTCAGAATGTATTATGTCCTTAAATTTTCAAAATAAATGCCTTTGAAATACTGTCAGTTTTGTGAAAATTTGAACATTAAATGTAAATATATATGAACTTACATTGCAGTTTCAGAGGGCAAAGTAAATATTGTCACATCTTTCAATGCTAACAGAACAATGTACTGACAGCATCGCAGTGTTTATAACATTCCATAATTAAACTGGATGGCGTACAGAACATTCAAAAGTCGCTTTATTTGCGTCGTCATTCACAGTCCTACTATTTGCTGCGGAACGTACACGGCATCACATCCCAAAAGAGTTGAAGCTACAAAAATATTCGTCATATAATTTGCGAATTGGCCAAAACGAGAATGGCAAATTTCACCAGTTATAACAGTGAAAAACTGCAATTTATAATCTAATAAATCGTGATCAAAAGTATGAGCGTAAGCATATTTCGGAGTACACTTGAATTGTAATACTCTTGATATTTCAATAGTGCTTGGCTATTAAATATGTCAAGTTAGTTTGTAGCCAAGCCTGCATTACACTTTTGAATAGCAGCAGAAGGTAAATTTTGTGTGTGCGTGTTTATGATCTGATCATAAACATGTAATGCGTGGTCAGGCAGGAATAAGGAACGAAACTGAAGTGGCATTATTCAAATATGGTGTAAATTGCATGTGCCAATGAGATTATCGGTGTGTCATGTTAAAATTTAGTCGATGATTTCTTGTGAGGTCAAAGGTTAAAGTACAATATAAAGTTGAAGACATAAGTGAGCTCGAGTTCTCTTATTGAACGTACAATGTTCAAGGTATGTTTGTAAAGAGTTCTTTCGTATTTTATTTAAGTGCAGTATTGTGCAGGTGGTATCAAGAGAAATGTATATGCTGTCATTACTCATTTGTGAGTCGTAATTTGGGGCTCAAAACATAATCCGAATATTTTGCAGCAAGTGAGAGTGTGAAGATGAAGTCTCTCTTCTGGAATGTTGCAGATGCTTACTGCCCTTTTGAAACGTTGGGTAGTTAATACGAGACCGCACTGTAAAACATCCCAGAAGACAGTCATTTGCATATTTTGTGTTGTGAATTAATGATAGACCTTTGAATCAAAATTACTAGCAAAATAATGTAACCAAAGCTGTATAATTGCAGAATGTTGTAGGGCTAGTAACAGGAGGTGCCTCAGGACTTGGCCGAGCAACAGTCGAACGACTGGTGAAAGAAGGAGGACGAGTTGTGTTATGTGACCTTCAGTCTTCTTCTGGACATGAAGTTGAAAAAGAGCTTGGAAAGAACGTTATTTTTGTACCAACTGATGTGAGTTATTTTTAATTACTTAAGAAAGATACTTGAGTTTGTTTTATGTTTCACCATATGTGCTCAGAAATTCAGAAGTGCAGTGATGTTGGACATTGTTTTCTGAAAATAGATGAAATCATAGGTATACTTATTTACTAGATTCTGAAATGTAGTTGTGTTACTGGCAAAGGTTTCCTGTGTTTTCCTAAGTCTCTTCATTAAATGCTGTGAGTTGCAGTTTATTTGTGTTATAAATAATGAACAGAAAGTATTTGTCATAAGGCTGTAGTAAAGATTATTTTCTGTAATATATGAAAGTGTAATGTGCAAATCCAAAATTCTGTGAAAGCTGACATCAGGATATATCTATTTTAGGTGGCATCTGAAAATGATGTTGTAAATGCCCTCCAAGTTGCTAAGAAAGAATTTGGGCAACTTAATGTGGCTGTCAACTGTGCTGGAATTGGAATTGCTTTCAAGACATACAACTTCAATAAGAAAACTCCACATGTGTTACAAGATTTCACAAAAGTGCTCATGGTAAGTTAGGGCACTGCCACAATGAAAATAATGCTTTTCATTTGTAAACATACAAAAATCATATGTTCAGATTGTAGAAATTGTGCCAGTGGTTTAGACCAGTCAGCTGGTTTTGTAATTTTCTTGGCACAAAGTTACTGATGTGCTGATGCTGAATCCTCTCTGTAGTTATGTTGCTGGTATTTGTTATTGTTGTTTTGTGGCACAGGTGTACCTGGTGGCATTAATGACATTCACTTGCCATTGAATGGTTTCATATGACAGGCTAAGGGTTTCAAAGCCTTGGTGCAACAAGTTACAATATTTGTGTTGTGGTTTTCTCAGAAACAGTGGAACATGATTACAGTCTTCTTGTTCATACGTTTACAACTCTTACACTCTGTTTCTTTGTTCACATCTCAGCATCATGTTCGCTCTGTCCAGTTACCGATGCATTCAATACTATTGCCTTCATTCAGTATAATGCACATTTTTGTAATTGGCACTTAGTGAAGTTGTAAACAGGTTCCATTTGGCATCAGAATCATTGCTGTGTTAAAGATTTAGTAATTTAATATTCAAATTATCTGTACTTTTAGTTGACAAGGAAAAATTTCAAGCATTGTCTTTTGCTGTGGTTATTTTTTAGGTGAATACTGTTGGAACATTCAATGTAATACGTTTGACCGCCGGTTTGATGGGTGAAAACGAACCAAATCAAGATGGTGAACGAGGTGTTATCATTAATACTGCAAGTGTGGCAGCCTTTGATGGTCAAATGGGGCAGGCAGCATACTCTGCTAGCAAGGGAGCTATTGTTAGTATGACTCTTCCCATTGCTCGTGACTTGGCTGATCAAGGAATCCGAGTTTGCACCATAGCACCAGGTTAGTAATGCTTCTAAATTATATCTGGGTAATATCTATTTTGAATCATAGCCAGAGAATTGATTATGCTGTGAGGTTTTTATTTTTCATGGTTTTACTGAAGTCACTTCCGGTTGCTTCTGGGATACATTACTGTGATGTTTAACTTAAAGATGGACGGTTGTTACCTTGAGTCTGTCTCCTCTATTCAGGGGGCCTGTGTTCCTTGTAATGACAATGGTACTTCCCTGATTTAGAGGTCAGACTTAGATCTTTTGACACATTTATTATGGTGTTCACTTTTTTGTATTTGACCATAAGTGGGAGGTTCAAATTTGCTGTTCATGTCTAGTGTCTGGCAATGTGATGTGACTGTTGAACTTCTGCTTCTTTATTTTATTACTACAAAAGTTACTGATGCAATTATCACAGCAGGTGAAGTTTCATGTTTATCCACTATCTCAAAATTTAATTCCAGTAACCATTTTTATTCACATCACATTTTTACATTTTATCTTCCTGTTGTTTGTTGTTAATTCTTACTCAGTGTGGCATCACTTGAAATTCCTGGGTATTATTTTGATGGGGCATGCTTTAAATGGTGATACTTATTTCCAGGACTCAAAATTGCTGTATGTACTACTGATGGTGACTCTGTGGCCATCCCCAGAGTTAATTATGTAATACCTGAAACATTTATTGTTTGCCCTCAGTGGGCTAGTGGTTAGTGTGCTCACCACTAGAGCCAAGGTTTGCGGGTTCAAACCCGGCCAATGTTGATGGATTCTTAGGGGTGATAAAAATCCATAGCACAACTTCCTTTGGAGGGGAAGTAAAGCCGATGGTCCCATGTCGTAGATTTACAGCATGTAAAAGAACCTTACGAGATGTTTCGTAAGCAAACATTCAGCGACCATTTCTCACCCATGTGTCTCCTGTTTCTCTACTAGATGGCTCTAGCAAACAAATAAGGATTGAGTAGAAATTGTGCAGAGGCAGTGGACTTGTCACTCACTACTCAAATTCACCCTACAAGACTAATAAGGACAAGTTGCCTTGAGCAACTGTCCTGGAATGGGTCAATAGGCCCAATTCTTGTAGTAGTTGATGATGAAACATTTATTTTTGTCTTGTAATATTTTCAGGCCTGTTTGATACACCACTGCTTTCTTCATTACCAGATAAAGTTCGCCATTTTTTGGAAAAATCTATCCCTTTTCCAAAAAGATTGGGTAAACCTGATGAGTTTGCTCTCTTGGTTCAGAGCATCATTCAAAATCCGTTACTAAATGGAGAGGTTATAAGACTGGATGGCGCCTTACGCATGCAGCCATAAGAGTGAAAAATGAGAATGTGGAATTTTTAATTAGTATAGCTGGATTCCTGGGTGTCTGTCATGCGGTTTTCCAAGAACTCTTATTTTGAAAATGACCTGTTTCTGAAACACATCCTTTTTTAAATACTAGATGCTGGATGAAGTTCTGAAATTCAGCATTACTAATTGTAATATACCACTTTCAGAGCCTTTTTGAATTGTTTTGTGAAATTTCTAATTTTTAATGCTGCAGTACATTTGTTAGCAATCAAGAAATTTGAATAAATGTTAATTAATTGTATGTAGTTGAATTGCATTTCTAGTTATTGCATATTTTTCTCCTATAGAAGGTAGTGCATGCCTGTTTAGCATTAAACAATCGTATAGCTTACTCGTGTCCTGGTGTTTGTGTTCAGCACAGATATTTGCTTCATTTTCAGGATATGACCAACAGTCCTGTTGAAATTGAATGTCTTCTGGGATGTAGTGCCATGTAGTGTGGCAGCTTATCACCCTGATGCTGATGGCAATAAGCACCTCTGAAGTGTTGGGTCATTTTCTACAAAGCTACGTGGTGCAACATCCCAAAAGACAGTCATCTTTATACTCACTTTGAGAACCTTAAATCTCAAATTTCTGTTGTTTTCCTCAGTTCTTGCAGGTGAGTCCAGGATAATATAGTAAAACTGCTTTTTCCTTGTCTCTTATACTTTGCTCATATGCCTCTCCCCTTCTTGTTTGAAGACCAGCATGAGTCTTTAATAAGTTCTGCAGAACTGCATAACATAAAAGATTCAAAGGCATTGAACATTCAGTCTGTATAGACTTAATTTTAAGAATGTCTAATTAACCCTTTCATTGTTATGGATAGAAGGATTCTGCTGCATGGAAGGTCACATTGTGCATTGTGGAGAGTATGCTACATCAACTGATCGATCATCTTGGTAGGGCATTTATTGACTGCCTGCAGATCTGTGTGTTTGCAGTGAAGGGGTTAATATGAAACCAGATGATAATGCGCTTAATAGTACAGCTCATATGGTCTGTGAGAAAAGAGTGGAAAGTAATCAGTCCCCTGTAATTATTATTTTGTAATTTCTAATCTCCAGGGATGAGATGAAAGTGAGTTATGATATGAATGAAAATGAAGAGTGATAAGAATGTGAGATTTGAGGTTTTTATGGCACAAAAAAATTATATTGTTATTTTTTGGGTTATAATGACGCATGTAGGTGTTAGTTTCAGATAAAGTGAGGAAATTGGAAGGTTGGCTATAAAAAAAATTAACAGTGAAACCTCAGTTATGACCTAGTCCAGTGACTGAGGTTAGCTCTTTACAAGGGGCCCAACTGGGTAGGTACTCGTTTCCCTTTTTGACTGAGGACGGAAACATGCAGTTTCCGAAACATGTTCTTTTGTGTACCAGATGGACAAAGTCAAAGAATTTAATAATCGAGGGTGTAATAATATCGTCAAAACCCTTTCAAATTGGCATGTACATGTGATTATTTTGCCAGTTATTATATGCATATGACACATAACAGGTCGGATTAATGTTTAATTCTGAAGTTTAATTTGAGTTATTTACTGTTTTTGTAAAATAGATGCGTACATGGTTACGAATTTGTTATCCGTGTCTACAGCGACAATTGCTAGGCCGAGCATGTGGGAACACGTACTACAGTTGCTTTTGAGAAGGCTAATTTCTAGGCCGAGCATGTGGAAGCACGTACTACAGTTGCTTTTGAGAAGGCTGTGAGATCGTGACCAGCTGATCAGCTTTGATTTGACTAGCGTCGTGGTTGGTAGTTGTCTATAGATAACGTAATGTGGCAGTACTGCTCTGCTGTTGACTTAATGTCAGTGTAGAAACAATTGTGGTGGGGGTGTGTTGTGATGTTCGCGTGTTGCTGACTGAACTTTGCTGTCAAACTTCCAGTGTTGACAGTCCTGGCTTCTGTCATAATTTGCACACAGTTCAATCACTGGTTCATCACGAGACGATTGTTTTCGCAGTTCCTTATTGGAGTAAACTCAGCAAAATGGAAGATAAAAAGATAAAGAAGTCGGTTGGAAGGAAACTAAGTGCCATAATTTTATTGGGTCTCGAAAGTTTCTTTTACAGGTAAGATGACCGAACTTGCAAACAATTTCATAACGATATGTGTAAATTATTATTACCTACGCCCGAAGTCGGACCCCAGTCAATACACTTGTCGACATTTCAGGTGTCGGTCAAATAGCAAGAGTTAATTTATTTGTAAATTGTTATAGACGCCGTGATCACTCGATACTATAGCGTCGAATGGTATTTAATAGCATTTGGCTGGATAGGGTGTGGTTGTGGTCTATTTCAGGGCTATATACCTGACGTTATCTCGAGGGACTGATGAGTCAGTCTGCTCATAAGTACAACGTAGAACATTGCGTGTCAGGATCATCTCAGTTTACAATTGAATTTGCGATTCATCTTTGTACCAATTATTGACATCAATTGACAGTAACTGAAGGACAGTTAATTATTGAGGACTGTCGGTCACATAGTAATGTTCTTTCGTGTGTGGGTGACAGAATTATTTCCGACTACCAGGGGGGGGGGGAGTTTGGTTTCTGACCTGTGGCACCAATTGGTTCCTTTTACCCCTACCTCAAAGAACACATTTCTCAAAACCCATAAACACACTCTGTGGGCAAAATACAAAAGTATTGAATGGCAAAGCGAATTGTATGTATACTTACTGGGTTTTGAACACCAGGGTAGTAGTCGAGACCCACCCCCAACATTTTGTATTTATTTGAGATTTTATGTTCTCACGGCGGTGAAGATGATTACGTTGTTCTCCCGTATAGACTCGTAGGTAGATACCAACATTTCGGACTGAAGTGTTTTAAAATTTTACCTCAGACTGTCGAGTCGAAGTAAAACAAGCAAGTTAGATGATGTAACGGTTGTTAATTTCAGAACCCCGTCTGCGGCTCTTCAGAATGGGAGACAAGTGGTTTTCGCTGCCCAGACTATGGGTTTAGGCGGTGCCCTTCATGGGATAAACTTAAAATGAACCTTGATCGTTTGCCCCAAGACTTCGCAGAACTTAAAGACTGGAGTTTGGATGTCATATAACCAAGGTTCTTTGTATGTCTGTTGAGAACAAGAGGAATGACAGAGTCTGCTTCGAGTCACTGTTTGAGACGTTCGTATCTTTAAAAGACGAAAGTCGGGACAGTGCAATCCACGCCTTTAACCATTTTAAGACGAAGATCGTCTTGTTCAGCGCATTCTAATTTCTAAAATCAATTCGTTGATGCTGTTTGGGGAAATGATCGTTGTTTATTGAGAATCATGCGAAACCTTTTATGCACTGTGCAGGCGAAATGCAGTTGGTGCTTTAAAGTGCTAATCGTGATACAGTGTCTTCGTTGCATTTCAGGTTCGGTCACGCCGTCGCGTGCCATCCGTGGTCCGTGATACTGGGGTGTCTGGGCTTTGTTGCATTGAGCAGCTTCGGTATCCTCAGGTTCCATCAAGAGAAACATCCGATCAAACTGTGGGTCCCTAAGAATTCCGACTTCATACATGATACCAACTGGTTAACGAGCAAGTTCCGAGAAGGTTATCGCATCCAGTCTATTCTTATCACTGCTCCAAATGTACTTGAACCACAAGTTCTGCAAAAGGTAGGAGTAACAAAAACCATAAAAGTAACGCTGGGCCAGCCAAGAAATTCCCAGCGTTTTATGGAACCAGAAGTTGACCCCTGCTTTGTGTTATGATTAACCCTTTGAACCCGAAGTTCGTCTGAATAATATTTAAGAATTCAGCCCGTACCGCGAAGAAAACACGACACTTCACCATTACAAATGGTCAGTTCTGTTTAAGGAATTGAGAATGAATTCGAAATGTACATTTAATGATTATTAAAGCTTTGAAGGATTAAACGTGAATTCAATTTGCCGTGGTCATCCATTATAAGGACAGGTTTCGTAATCGAGTTTGAGAAATGCCGAATAGAATGCTCTGAAGACGTTTAATTAGCTTTGATTGGTACGGGAAACGAGAAGGAATTAGTTGCTGATAGACGAGAAGAATTCAGACCGTCGTCTCTGTAAATAGTCTTTCGTTTTGCAGTCAGCTCTTCTAACATAAAAGACGACACGGGCCGATTCACAACTAGATATTTTCAGCTTTTTATTCAAAATTAAATTTTAATATTATCTTGTTACATTCGTGTCGATCTTCAAATTGGTCGCAGGATCTTCGTTTTTACGCAAATAATCCATTTTTTTAGTGTTCTGTCTGACGACAGGTCCATATGAACAGGATCCTTCCATCCTCTTCTCGGACTGGGACCTGTTCATATACGTTCTTGGCAGATGATCCAGAAGTGGTTTGCCATTGCCTTCTTCTGTGTGTGAATGGAGTAATTGTTGGGATGCCACGGAGAAACCGGGGAAGCCCCCGGAGGAAAACCCCGTGTTGCCTAGACCACGATCTTGCCCAACACAAGTTATAAATTCCGGCACCGCCGGGAATCGAACCCGAGACACCAGGATTACAAGGCCAGCGTTCTAACCGCTAGACCACCGTGGCAGGTGCCAGGTAATACGAGGTTAAATATACAAAACGCAGTATGAGGAAAACACAGTCACGGACAGATGAGTACACACTATCAGTATTAGAAGCATATGAAGAAAATCAGAAAAGTTTACTTCGGTATAATCAGCCGAATCTTATTATAAACCATAGGCCATTAAATACCCCAGTTAATTATAAAATCACACCATCTGTTGACTGGGACATGATTGTAAGGGCTCACAAGTGTTAATTAAACCTAATTAACACTTATTATGAGACGGGCATCATTATTTTACCAAATTAAAATCTTCCTTTGCTAATCGCAGGTGAACTGAAGATAACCTTGTCATCTTGTTAGTCAAATTTGGACAGTGAAAAATTTGTTATCAAAAGCAACAACATTTAACAACTGCAATATTAAAACTGAATTCCTTTAAAAATCATTAAAAAACTGGAATTAGTGAGGTAGGCGGGAATAAAATGCTGGAAGTAATCTGGTTGGCGTTCATCGACGTTTCAGAGGCTGCCACGATCTTCAGCACCCTTAAACGTGCCTCTGAAACGTCTGTGTTCTGGTCCCCGCTCAGTCTTTTGTTCTGTGGGTGGTGGGGATCTATTCCTTGGCAATGAAAGAGCCAGGGCCTTCAACTTTGGTTCCTTCGTCTTGCTTCACCGTTTTTACACCTGATTATGCCCAATCAATCCAGCCTTTTATTTTACAGCCCATAATTTAATGTATTCTAAAATTCAGTTATTTTCGTATTTGTTTTGATCTTCCATACAAATGTTTAATTACAGTCGACGTAATCTTTTTAAAATTACCAGCTTATTTTCACGTAATTCTCTCTAAATCCTTGTGTTCCGGGCGACGTATCCGGTGTTTGGACTTGGAGCAACGAACGGAACTGTTTCATGTTACGTGGGATCCATATTTTAAAAATCATTCCTCATGGTTTGTCAGTGAATATGTATAATAAAAAACTGCTTTGCTGTTTTACCGGAACTGAGTAACATCCTGTCAGATACGAACACTGCACGGAGTAAAAACAGATTGTGTCGTGTCGACTGGCGGAAGGATATTATTAAATTACAGTGCGAATTTCGTTTTAGGTCCACTGAGTTGTAAACTTTGAGTCAGTGTTGATTTTGAAATACGATAGGTATAATATCTTTGTTTCAATATGTTAATAATAATAATAATAATTTACGGTGAAACTGAAATGTCCAAATGCTAACTTTTTTTTTAAGCTTCATTGTTGATACTGTGTAGTTCGGTTCCACTGTCATTGAAAGGGAAATGGACTTTTTTTCCTCTGAATTGTCGTTAACCGCCATCTACCCTTCATTTAAGTTGCTAAAAATAGTCTTCAAATGCGGTCCTTTATGATCACGTAATTGAGTCGTCGAGTTCCACAATTTCAGCGAATTTCAGTCATCGTCTCAAGCAATACTTTGTACACTTTAGTTAGTCTGTGGTTCTTCGTTTCAAAGTCAGTCTTTATCGTTCAGTTTGGCAGATAACAAAGCGTTTTAGGGCAATTATGCCTTATCCTAAGCCAAGCAATGTGCTGTGTCACCTTAACGTCCGCCTCTGTATTCCAAGAGCCCGCTTGACTACGGTCTCATTTCCACGTACATATTCCACGGCGAGAAAATCAGACTCTCCTTGATCTACATTCTAATTGTCAAGAAAAACAATACTGAGAAAATGCCTTAATTAATAACGCCCCTCGTCTCACTCATTGCATCACTCGAGTTTGCATGTTGTCTTGACTTTAGGTCTAAAATGTCTTAAGTAATAATCTGACGTTTGCGGGAGATGTTGCATAAAACATTAATTGTTCAAAAGGAAACAACACGTAAAAAAGTTATATTTTTTTCATATTTGTCATTGAAAATAAATCGCACGTCCTTCAGCGTTGTCGATGTTCTGGGTTGTGATGCACGTGGCAGGTAGATACTAACGTTTCGGAGAAAGATATTGTCTCCACAGCCCCGAAGATGTCTGTCTACCTACACAGCGCCCCAGCCCGGAATAACATCTCCATCTTACCGCCATGAAGACCGCGAGAACCTCAAATCTCACAATTGCAACGTCATCCCTCTGCTTTAAGCGCCATGACTGAATTTTAAGCATTTATCTTATCTTTATTTAGATAATGTTGTCTTTACAAGGCGTTCTGTTGAAAAATTATGTAATGAGCGTTAATTTTCGGTTTCATCTTTGCAATTGTACCAAGTGCCTGATACATTCTTGATTGATAACAGAAAGCAAGTGATACTGAGCGTAATAGTTTTTCATGGCAAGCTGTAAATTATCAGATGAAAATGAAACAAAGTGTCGCAGAATCAGGATGTCTTTGTGAGTGCAACTTCAATACGGATATTCGACGAAGAAGTTTTGCTGTGGCCCGTTGAATATCTGCCAAGTTCCACGCAACATTCTCGCTCAGTCGATAGGTCTAATATTCGGAATCGATTACCGTTCAATGTGAAAATGTCCTCCGTCCCTTTGTAAGGCAATGACGCAGGGAACCTTGTGCTATGAATACTTCATTTACGTCATAGGGTTTTAATTTTCAACTTGGAATGCGAGGATACATTGTTTCTTTTCTGAGACGCAGTTAATTAATGACGCAAATCTATTGTGTTCTCAGCCTCCGGCATATTTGGGCTCTGCATTGCTCGAAGTGAAAAAGGGAATGTCCGGAATTTGAAATGTTCCTTGGCGTAGAAACTGCCGTGGAATTTATGTCATTTTTATCGAATTGTAAGACTTTGTGAAGAATTTCGAGCAGTCCGTGATTGTACGCGAACTGTAAACGCTTAGAATTTCTGTGTTTTTGATAAAGTTTTAACCTGTGTGAAATTTAAGGTTCTCACGACGGTGAAGATGGCGATGTAACTTCCGGGGTTAAGGCGCCGTGTAGGCTGGTAAGTACCAAAGTTTCGCAGGAACGTACTGTCTCCATATTCAGCATTCAGTATGTCTCTCCGAAACTTTGGTTTAAAAAAACGATTCTACACGGCGTCACAATCCAGAACAACATTATCGACAACCTACGGGACGTGCGCTTTATTTTCAATGACAAACATACAAAAGGAATTTTTATATAAACCCATAAGTTCGAATATTCTGTCACCCCGATGGATTAACAGAGAACAACGCATGGGGGCGGGGGGGGGGGGGAACAGTGACGTGTGCAGTCTCGAAATATGGGTACACGGCCTTTGCGAAAGGCTGATCCCCTGCCCAGGGTGTCTTGCCAAATGCTTAAGTATCCAGCCTTTCATAAATAATTCTGAATAGGGGGAAATCCAAAATGGGTAATTTTAAGTAAATGTTGAATCATCAAGGGGTAATATTATTTCGGAAAATTTTTATTAGTATAGAATACAATGAGTGGTAAAATATATGTGTTTTCGTGTTTATTTGTTTGGAAACTTTTCGGCGAAGTGGGACATGCGGCCGAGGTCAGAACAGAAGTAATGCATCTGATTAACTGTATTCTCTTACAGAAGAAATGTTGTTCACAAGGCCATCTACCTAATTATATATCGTGAATGTGAATGAAAAAATTACATAAATTGATGTCATCGTGTGTCTCATAGGAGTTACTGTGTAAGTCCGAAAGCGAATCACCAGATTTTCAAACTTGCCAATAGACGAGCTCATCTTCTGAATATGGTAACAGATGATTAAATTGCGATTTTGCGTATTAATATTCAATCCCTTTTAAATTGGGTAAGGTAAATAAACCCAATCTAATGTACAACGTCTTAAAATATATTCTTAACTTTTTGTATTTTAAAATATAGTTTGTCGCTTGACTTGGCTAGTGTCTTCATATAAAGGTTCTATATCGATAAATGTTTTAGAATTAAAATTTAAAGTAAAGAGACTGTGGGTTTTATGATGGAGATTTTAATAGTGATCAACAAAATTTGGACCATTAACGCTTTCTGAAACGCGACATTCGGTGTGATTAAAGGCATTGAGAAAAACCACGCCAGATTTAAAACTAAATTTAATTTCGAAAATTTTATCGTGCCTCTACAAGTAAAAAGTGTTACTACTGAAACAACAACATTAATTGTGCAATGGATTCTTAATAAGGAAACTGGTCAGATAAAGTAGAACTGTGCTAAGTGCACAGTCACCTGAATACCAGGAGACAGCAAATGAAGGTCATTAAAGTGTATTTTGATTAATATTCGCGATACTGAAATATTAAAAACAGGATCTTGGTAATAAACACTGCAACTGCATAGAAGATAATTAGCTCATACAAACATTCCAATAATTTTCTACAGATTTGTTCGTAGTCCTTGGTTGTTCGTCAAGATGTTAGTGAGAAGAATAACTTTCGGGACTGTTCACGCTTTCTTACGAAATATTTTGGGCTATTTTATATCTCTGGAACGGGTGAAGGGTTTGTCATGAAATTTGGTATGGAGATTACGCCATTGGAGCCTACTCCACAACCTTACTTTTATGGTCTGAAAGTTGGTATTGCCAACGTAGTGGATGCTCAAAGTCGTGAGGTGGGATAAGAAAGAAGCTTTACCCATGATCGTTTAAAGCCGTGTATCGACTGCGCGCGCCTGCCGCGCGCAGCTGTTCATGCGCGGCAAACTCTTTCGTTTGTTAATGTTTAAAACCGTGTTCGTGGTTACCAGCTTCGAGCGCGGCAGCCGTGAGCTGAGAGAGCACAGCACACTGAAATCCCTCTGTGATGACGTCATTTGCCTCGAGGGTTTTGTCAATGGACGTAACGCTGTGTATAATTAATAAAAAAAAACCTGTTTTTAAATTTCGTACAGTCCAACATGACATTCGTGTTGTCTGGCAAGTTCCCTTCTTTGTTTTTACTCCGCGATCGGCCGCTGCGGGTTCCGTCAATTTAAGTGTGTGCGCATTTAATAACTTTATAACGCATTTAAGGATTTTAATACAATTTTGTGTGGACGCCATGCCATAGGTGACTCATACTTCACACCTTGCAACATTTGATAAAAATAAAATGGCGGACGGTTGGTTGATGCCTTAAGGAGACATTAACTATAATGTCAGGATCCTAAACTTTGCTATGTATTGCGCGCAGTCAAAGCTCAGTTTCTTTCAGGCCACTTGAAATCTTAACAAATTGTACAGAAGTACAGGTAGTAAGGAATAACTCAGCTGTTAGCAGCTGACTGACCTGGCAAGCTGTAGCACCAAGTTGAGCAATCAATTACCGATTGCAAAACATTTCACCATTCACTGATCAAGGACTTTCCTGTTTTATAAGAGAAGCCTTTGCATGTTTTTTCATGTTACATGATTAGACAGAGAATTTATGCCAAATTTCTTGAGTGTAGTTAATGACAAAATTGTCAGCAATTTACAACTTTAAATTAAAGTCACATTTCTGTGTCATGATACTCACTGACGACTTTATTGTCTTTGAATTTTGTGGGTGGGATTGAACATCCAGTTTTAATTGTGTGTTTCAGTTACAAGATATTCAGAATAAGGTGGAAAATCTAAATGCTGATGGAATTACATGGGAGGACATATGTTTCAGGTAACTCTTTATTAGGAGAACAAGTCCATGTGATTGATGATGACGTCCTTCTGGGTTTGACACCACATAGATTCAAAGGTACGAGGTGCGATCGGAAAGTTTCTAGACTGCGCCTATAAAAACCTGTACACTTATCTCAGGTATTAAATTCATCCATCACCCTCGAAGTAGTTCCCCTGGGAGTGAACACAACGATCCCAGCGCCGCTGCTAAGCCTGGAAGCATCCCTGGAAATCTTTCTTTGTCAGCCTGTCAAGCACCATCTGCGATTCTGCCTGAATCTCTTCTGTCGTCTCAAATCTCCTTCCCTTTAGCTGAATGTTCATCTTTGGGAAGAGGAAGAAGTCACACGGAGCTAA